TTTTGTCTGATACAAACCAAACAAAGCAGAAAACCATTAGATCTTTGCATTTGCTTCTTGAAGCATTGTTCATAAAATTATTGATAAATCTCAGCCAAATAAATGGTTTGGAATGACAAAATCTGCAATTAATGAAAAGAGAACAAAATGGAACAACTTACAACAGGAAGAGGAGGGCAATTGGGATCCTTAAGGCAATTATTGTAAGGCCAAGCTGAGCCACCTTGGCCATCAAAAGATCCACCACCAGTGATTGTCAATCTATCAATGTATCTGAAGGAAAACCAATGGTCAACGTGAAGTGATGAAGCCGCATCAGCAGGAGCCTTTACAACCCCCTTCACCTGAAATTCAATGGCACCGTTGCATGGACCCTGCCATACAATTGGTCGCACCAAGTATGTCCCTGGCGGGATCAAAATCACATTGTTTCCTCTACTCTGGCAACCTTCTTTCCTTGCATTGCTAAAGGCCTAACAATGGAAAAACAGAAAATGAATACATAATCTTTTTCTCTTCCTTCTGTTTTCCCACTTTGGAAGGCCAAAAATTACTATTCCATCTTAATTGTTGTAGGTTATATTGCTCTCATACTCTTCATTTACCTTAAAACATCCATGTCTGACACATATCCAACGGACATGGATACGAAGGTATGACCCTCCATATATATATATATATATATATATATATATATATATAACTTGCAAAAATATTTGAGCATATATCCATGGTGGAAACATGCTTTTCACTGACAATCATCCCGAATCCGAGTAACATATATCTTGTAGGTAGAAAGCCAATAGTTTTGTGCTTAAATGAATAAATAAGTTACAGGTATAACCTAATATTGAACTTGAAATCATCAATTTAAATGAAATTGATATATATTACCTTAGAATTGTCTGCTTTTCCATCAGCAGAGGCACCTTATTTTAGCACGTTAAAAAGATTTGTAGCTGCTTGGACTTGGTTTCCATACAAGAATATCAACATTAAGAAGATGAAACTTTGAAAAACTGAATTGGAAGAACCCATTTTCTGATCTTTTTGTTTCCCCTTGACTTGATATACAGACTAAACTGGTCTTTTATCTTTGTTTTTTATAGCATGTTATCATATGGAAATACATATGGAAAATAATCAATAATTAAACCAAGTCAATCTATTTCACTTAAATTCATATCATCTATATATAAATGTAAATTCCAAATGTCTAATAGTAATCGACTTAAATATTTTTATAAATTTTTAAATTAATAAATTAATCATTAACTATATAACTTTCATTAATTTATTTAAGTTTAATTTAAATCATCAAAGTGTTAATAGTAATCGACATAAATGTTCTTATAAAATTTTAAATTAATAAATTTATCTTTAAATATTTAACTTTTATTAATTTATTTAAATTTAATTTAAATAAACTAGATTTTAAAATAGAGTTTAGAAGAAATTAAACTACTTAAATTTTTAAAATTTTAATTTTAAAAGTGTTAAAAGTGATTAACTAAATCCTTAATAAAATTTTAATTTCAAGTAGTAAATTAATTAATCATAGATTATTTTTTAGTAAATAATCGATAAATGAATAGTAAATTGGTTATAAATTTATAATAAATCATGAATAACTTAATTAATCATAGATTATATTGTGTTTTTTTATTTGATTTACATAAATTAATGATAACATAATAGTGGATAATTAATAACTTAATAATTAATTAATCATTGAAAATTTAAATGTAATCAATATAACTTAGTAATACTCATAAATAATTTAATAATAAATTACTAATAACTTAATAGTAAATGAGTGATAATTTAATTGTCAATAGTTGATAATTTTTTAATAAATCTATAATAATATAATAATAAATGCATAATACTTTAATGGTAAATCAATTATAATATAATTATAAATGCATAACAATATAGTACTAAATCAAGGATAACTTAACAAAAAATGAATAATAACTTACTAGTTAATTATTGATAATTTAGTAATAAATCAATGATAACTTAATAGTAAATTTGTGATAATTTAATAGTAAATCAGTTTTAGTTTAATAGTAATTAATTTATAGTAGTAGATAATAAATAACTTAACAATAAATCAATTCTAAATTAATAGTAAATAATTGATAATTTAATAGTTATTTATTGAAAACTTAAAAGTAATCAGTATAACTTAATAGTAAATCATCAATAACATAATAGTTAATCATTGATAACTTAATAGTAAATTATGCATAATTTTATATAAAGTAGTAATAACTTAATAATGATTCATAGATAATTTAGTGATAAATTAGTAATAATTGTGTGATAAATAATTAAAAATTAAGTAGTAAATCAATGATAACATACTAATAAATATATAAAAATATAACATAAATCATTGATAAATTAGTCGTAAATTGATAATTTAGCAATAAATTACTGGTAATATAATAGCAAATTACTAATAACTTAATTGTAAATTAGTGATAATTTAATAATAAATTGATTAATCATTGATAATTTTTTAGTAAATTATTAATAAAGTAATAGTAAATTAGTTATAAATAAATTAGTAAATCATTGATAATAATGGTTGGTAAATCGTTTATATATGACAAATCATTAATAAATTAGTAGCACATCATTGCTAGCTTTGTAGTAAATAATTGATAATTTAATTGTTAATTATTGATAACTTTTATTATACTTAAAGTTATTAGAGATTAAACCTTGAGTACTAGCATAAAAGAAGTCAAAACTTTCATTTTAGGAATTAGGATAAAACTACCATGAATATATTTAATAAAAAATTAGTGAAAAAAATTATAAACTTATATAAAACAATAATGTTATTATATAAAAAAATTATCTCATATATTATTAGTGGACTTTTAAACTTCATATTTTAAATACATAACAACATATTAGTAAATCAATTATAGGTTAATAAAAACTTAGTAATTAATAATTGATAACTTAATAATAAATCAATAATAATTTAATAGTAAATTAGTGATAACTTAATAGTAAATCAATTTTAATTTAAAAGTAATTAGTTGATAAATTTAGTAGTAAATTATAAATAACTTAATAGTAAATCAATGACAATTTAGTAGTTAATCATTAGAAACTTAAAAATAAATCAATATAACTTAAAAGTCATTAATCATCAATAACTTAATAGTTAATCAATAATAACTTAAGAGTAAATTATGGATAATTTAATATAAATCAATGATAACTTAATAATAAATTATGGTTAATTCTATAATAAATCTATTATGATTTTGTAGTAAATAATAAAAAATTAAGTAGTAAATCAATGACAATAGTAGTAAATGCATAATAACATAATAGTAAATTATTAATAATTTAGATATAAATTATTGATAACTTAGTAGTAAATCATTAATGATTTAGTTGTAAATAACTAGTAATTTAATAGCAAATTAATTAATCATTGATAACTTTGTACTAAATCATTGATAAATTAATAGTAAATTAGTTATAACTTTATAATAAATCATTAGCAATTTAATAGTAAATCATCAACAATTTGATAGTAAATCAATCATAATTTAATAACAAATCATTCATAAATTAGTAGTAAATTAATATTGATAATTTAGTGGTATATCATTGATATCTTAATAGTAAATCGCTAATAATATAATAGTAAATCAATAATAACTAAATTGTCAATCATTAATAGATTTTTTTAAACTTGAAGTTATCAAGAATTGAATCTTGGTTACTAGCATAAATTGAGCTAAATTTTTTTTTTTTTTGAGAGACTAGGATAAACCTATTATAAACTTATGCAATAAAAAGATTTAGTGAAAAATTTATAAGTTTGAATGAAACAATAATATTATTGTATAAAATAAAAATTATCTTATACTAAATCTGAACTTGCACTTTTCTATAGAAATCCATTGTTAAATATATGATGACACAAATTTTATCAATAATTATCAAAAGTATATCATAAATTATCAAAAGATTACTAAAATTATATCAAGAGGTTATTAAAATTTTATCAAAAATTACCAAAATTATATTCATGGTATCAAAATTATATCATAAGTCACCAAAATAGATCAAAAGTTACCAAAATTTTATCAAAAGTTATTAAAATCAAAATTATATAAAAAATTATCAAATTTTACTTATATTATACAAAAATCAAAATTAAATTATTAGCATTTATCATTATTATCATAATATTAAAAAATTTATTTATTGAAATAAATTTTTAGAGATAAAAATTACACATACCAAAAATTAGTATATAATTACCAATTAAAAGATGCAAAATACATTAATTCACTCTTTAAAAAAGATGAAATGCATATTGAATATTAGTGGATTTCACACTAATTAGTTTTGAACTTAATTGCAAAATAACATTTTAATATATCATGTTTAAACTCACCAAAATCAAAATGATATATAATTATATGAGTTTTGATTTCATTAATTCGATTTGTAAGAATTAAGTCATATCAATATTTCGGGATTACTCGTACGGGATTGAATCATTGATCAGAATCTTTTAGTTCAAAACTTGTAATTATATACCTTTCAATGCATAATATTTTTTTTACCATTTTCTCAGTGGGAGCAAATTCATGATTTAATTCCTTAATTAGCTCCTATGATAAGCCAATTAAGTTCCTGTTGTAAATTGTGACGAGGGATTTGACTGTTTGGAAATAAAGAAAAAATAAATCCCAAGTGGACCTAAGATTTTTAAAGAGAAATCCGAATTTGGTCAATGGAAACACTTAACAATATCAGAAATTTTAAGCTTTTGAAACAAAGAAGAACTCCTACTCAATGCGTTACAGTAGAGCAAATTAAAATACATAGTTTGCCTTCTCAGATTATGTCAAACAAACAACAAAATTATTATATAATAATTAATATTAACAGATTAAACACAAAACTTTTTTTTTTGATTTTATCAAATTTATATAATTTTTATTAAAATTTTAAACTATCACTTCCATTTCATTTGATTTGTCATATCTTTATCGTTTTGTCATATGAATTTTATATTGAGACATTATATCGTACTTAAAATTATCGAATCTATTTCAAAATAGTTAGATAATTATATTTGCTGGTATTTAAAAATCTTATTCATACTTTGAACATTCGATCCATAAACAATGATTCACTCAAAAGAATAATCACAGGACATCTTACAGCAACCAAATAGGGAAAGGATCCATCAATCAAAGACATGTATCTTTCAAGAATTTGTGCTATTCAAAAGTACAAGTGAGAAGAATGAATATACCTACAAAAGTAAAAGGTAAAAGAATTGGCTGCTAGTTGATGTCTACGCAATGAGATTAAAAAAGGAAAAAAGCAAGGGGGAAAACTGGTTAAGAGCATGCCGGCTCTTCTGCGGTTTTAAAACAGTGAAAAAATGGCGAGAAGCACAGCCATGAGGGGCACAATGATAGAAGTAGCAAATTTAGGCTGTCCATTTGGTGATGTTGGGGCTGCTGGAGTACCGGGCGGACTGGAAGTTGGGGATTTTGCTGCAACAGGAGGCAGAGGGGGCTCGACAACATCTGCTTCAGTCAGGTAGGGGTTTGGAGCTTCAGCTGGTGGCAAGTAGGCAGGTGTGATTAGTTGATAAAGGCTGCCAGGCTGAACCGGGCTCATGTAACCAGGTGTACTATTGCCTTTGTTCAAGCATCGGTTCCCTACAAACAGATTATCACATCAGTAGCATATTCGTATTCCAATTAACATAAAAGCAAAAGGTTGGTGGTCCAATGCCATGAAAATTTTATAGTTTCAGCATATAGAAGTGCCAAAATTCAACCGGAAAGCACTTACTTCGGTATCTATCAGATGTCTTTGGGAAATCTGTAATGACACCATTAATACTGCCTCCGACATGGTAGGAATTGATCTCAACAGTTGCATCAGAGAAGAAGTCCCATGCTTGAGATGTGAACTCATTACTGAAGGTTTGAACATAAACAGAGAGATTAGCTGCTTGTAGCCTTGGTACAACAGTGGTAACACCAGTGACGTATGCTGTATTTTCAGGAAAGACAGAGTCCTTGCTAATGACTACAGCGCTAGCAAATCTCTTAATGTCGTCAATTGTTGCATTCTGAGCACCACCGATATCTTCATCAACCTTGAAGACAAGCTTATAGTTGGTTTTGCTCTTCAACTTCACTAGAACAGAGCTATTACTGGATTGTATCATAACTGTCTGAGCCGTCTGTTTATCATAGCCAGCTTCGCTCAAGGCATTAAGCACTGCATCAGTTACATCAAATCCCTGCTCTAAAAGGAAGGGAGCATTCTGAAAGGAATAAACAAGTCAAAAATGTAAAAATTCTTCACAACAAAATGTTGGCGTTATGTAATCAAGGAAGAAATCATTTGGAATACAAATATACATCATTTATAGCTAACTCACAATCATTGTTAATGAAGATTTTAAGCAGATAAGAGTTCAGGAGAAAAGAGGATTGGAAATTTTGTTACAGAATGTTAAGAAAATATATGGACACACGTAGATACCCAAGAAGATTTTGCTACCCCTATAGGGGAATAATCATGGTGATTACTCTTTTCAGTATCCATGAAGTTAGAAGATGCCTTTCTGTCTCTATTAACATTATTTTGGATGTAAGTTCAAACCAAATTCGTTAGCGTAAATACAAGAAAAGCCATCTTATGAGATGGGTGTATTGCATTTCAGCATTTGGAAAACAAAGGAATGGTCTTTAAATCTGAGATACATTTAATTATGATAAGCATTATTAGTGAACTTAGAGTGATTTAGCAATGTATCTACAGATGTCAAGTTCATAATGGTGGCAGCTTCTTATTAAACCATGTTTCTTTGACCATTTGGCTCAACATTTTTCCACATGGAATACACCACAGCCACCATAGTTAGGATTATGACTCAATCTTATATGTTTCTTGGAATAAGATACCATGCTGACAGTACCCCCTGGCATACAGATAACCATAGCTACCATTCACAGTGCCTAACCTCTTTAAAATCCATTATTAGGTTCAATAATGTGAGTAGAAAATAAAAGTTACATAAGTAAACTCCAATGCAAGAAACTTGAAACTTGAAAAGGAATAAAGAATAGCAAGAACTGACCTCTATGCTGATTAAGACACCTTGAAGAGAGCTAGCATTCTTTGCTGTGGCTAAAAACTCAGATAACGTTAAGAAGTTTCCAGCATTTCTGAACCTTGGATTTCGAAACAATCGGTAAGCTGACTGTGGGCTTGATATAACAGCTACAGTGAAGTAATGACAGGATAAGACAGGGATGTTGACAAAAAGTTAGTGCCAATTATATCTATTTAAGAAACAACAGGCCAGCTAAATCTCAGCAACTACAACACAGATTTAGATGATACGGCAAAGTAAATAAAACTGACATAAGTGCTGTATGCAAGGAAACATTATCTCTCAAAGCAGGGTTTTGTTCATGCTCCATCGACACGGTTATGGGTAACAGCCTTCCAAGCACAGAAAAAGAAAATGAACAGCATCCACAAAGCATCACAAATTTTATAAACCCACTCAATGTAATGCACAAACCTCAATCTATACTGAGTTAGACCACTTCTATTTTCAAGATGTTATGTTTCTTAAAAGATTACAGAGTCTAGATGACATCCCACCCACCCCCGGCCCCAAACACTCATAAGAAAAATAAAAACCAAAAGTTCAGTACAATAAAGAACAAGCAATGAGAACTAAATTCAACTTACATGTTAAGTTTCGAATATCACTCCATGACAGGTTAAAGGTAAATATTCCACTGCCTTGCATAATCTCTGGAATTGTTGTTGTAAGATTGCTAAAACTTGATTGAGCAACTGTTGTACTATCTATCAGATTTATAGAGCTCAAGCAAATAGCTGTTCCATCCTTTGTCATTTGAACAGGACAGTCAAGAATATCTACGCCGTCTTCAATTGCTTTTGAATATGCCAAGTCAGTACAACCAGGAAAGTCTCCACTTGCTCCATTCATTGAGATGACCAAAAGGTCCACTGCTGTATCCCAACGAAAGAAAATAGGTCAAGAAGAACCTTAAAATAATTGTTGGTGCCATAAAACACACAATCTCATGACCACTAACGCTAACTCTCAGCAAGAAATTATAAGATCTTTCAATCATAAGCATCGTATAGCGGCATACCTTGTTTTGAAGCATTTTTGCTTAGGTGAGCAAAGCAATCTGTAGTATGAAACAAAAATTAGCATCTCAACAAAAAAGGTTCTTATCCATTAGCAGCAAAAGATCCCAAAAAAAAGATAATGGTATCTAGTAAAAATAAGACAACCTTTCCGTCAATAATGAGAATATGTCATTGTATAGGACATGTCAGGCCAAGACTGTAAAGAAAGAAAAGGTAGAGATAGTCTCACTTCACCCTCTTATTCATATGATGCAATTATAGCATGAGGCTATCATAGAGAAAAGATCCAACAAAGTGCATTCTTAGGTGCATCCTTTTAGTCATAAAACAGGATATGCTCCCTAATTTGTGAAAACTACAAAATTTTGGAAGACATTCGCATGATGGCAGCACAAGTCACTTAGACATGTAAGGATTCTAGTGTAATTTGAATTTGACCATAATTTAAGTTAAAAAGTAAATATAAGTGTACGAGATGCAAAAACGAATTCAAGAAATCAATGAGAAGTCACATTGCATACACAAGCCGGTACGTAACTTACCTATAGCAGCTGATGGAGTTATCGGGAAGTCGGATATCACCCCATCAACAGCAAAGTTACCATTGTCAACAAACTTAAGATACTCAGCAACTGGATCGTAGGAGTAATTGAAGCTAAATGGAACATCATTATAAAATTCTGATGCAAAAACTTCTAGCCCTTCTTTGTGAGCATCTAAAACAACAGAAGTAGAAGGTAGCAAGTAAAGATTTGCATCTACAGGCCATATATAAGACTTGGGTACAATGATTCCAGAGGCAAATGTCTTGATAAATGTGAGATTTTTTAAGAGAGAATCATAAGTCTGGTTGGTTGACAGCTCCACATCGTTCTGACCTAGAAACCGGAAGACAAGCTTTGTTGTGCTGTTTTGAAAACGTGGTGCAATACTTTGCAAGAAAGCCACCTCCGGTGATGAGATATAGTCAACAGTTACATTCACATTTCTAGTTACAGAAAGTACAAAGTTTCTCATACTCAAGTTATGTTGTGCATAGAATGCATCATGCTGCAAAATAGAAAGACAGTCAATTAAATTCAAAAACAGGAAGATGAAGTTCTACTAATTTAACAAGGGGGTAACAAGAGACGAGAGGGGAAAAATAAGAAGGCATTATTAAGCATTGATCAATCATTTACCTGAATATTCAACCAAAAACCAGGTGGCTTGAATTGAGTATAGGTATCCTGAACGGTCATAATTGGGTAATTATTACCATCTAACCTGCTAGGACGAGAATAGACACCTTGATTTACTGTCCAGATAACAAAAAACACATTAGAATGTGACACAAAAAACAAATAGCAGAAAGCAGAGAAGATTTTACTACTCGTACATTTTAGTGCAAGTCAAGCCAAACATACTTATTAAAAAAACATGCTGATTGCTGAACCTCATACAGGTAATAATGTTGACACAACATCTAGCACAAGCATATCAAAATTCAGGATTAATTACCTGATTGCTTTTAAAATTGGTTGAACTGGGTTCTTAGTTGTTAGGAAATAAGTTAGTGTTTGATAATTCAAAACTAAAAACTTATTTTGACACCATTAAGATGACTTGGCGCTCATAACTTCATTAACTATCCATCAAGCAACGTTTGTGAAGATAATGATAATAATGAGAATGGCAACAAGCACAACAGTAATGAATGATAGTAAGAACATTGATGATAACATGAAAAAAAAAGACAAAAAGGATATATTGTCAGCTGAACTTACAGATGACATTTCCGAGATCCTTGAGAGTGTAATCAATGGAAAACCATCCCTTGGTAGAGACCCCATTAACAAGGTAAGCCTTCTCTTGACCCTGGTAAATAGTTGCAATGTCAGAATTATTATCTAGCTTAACATCAGGGAAGCAAATCCCAGCCGCATCTTTTGTTAATTGCACATCACACCAGAAGATCACATTAGGTACACTAGTTAGTAAAGCCAAACTATAAGCTCCAAAACTAGAGCCTGCAAATATTCCTGAAAATCCACCATGTGCTATGACAAAGGGCGCATTCCCTGCAACATGAATCAAACAGTTTAAGTTTATTGAACAATAGAAGATTAAAAAGTGAGATGAACTTTACAAAACTTTTGTCCGTTATGAATGCTACTGTTAAATGCGTTTATGTATTTACAGACTCAAATGTTGTAGCTCAATATGATGCTGGGTGAGGATATCAGAATTTTAACCTGCCTGAAGAATGTCTATTTCTTATATTGTTAAATGTTGTAACATATTGTATTTGCTTTTCATCAATGTTCTTCACAACCAAACAAAGTATAGCAATTTTTTTAGTTAATTATCCTATTAAATAGAGGAAGAACCACCATAATAAGTTTTTTTATATAGAAAGAAACTTTTTTAAATTTGTTTATTGATTCTTTTATAAGAAACAAAAGATAAATTCTAAGAAAAACCACTCTAATTTAAGAAGAAAAAAATCAAAATAGCAAGCAAAAATAGTCAAAGAAGTAAATCAAGAAAGACTTGAAGCGGCATTCTCCATCAATTTGTTCCATTTTCTCATCAACAAAAATCAAAAGCATCAACTAGTGATATAATGAAATAAATTTAAGTCTCAAAAACAGGCTTCCATTCCAAGGAAAGCTGAATTCATAAACGTTAAAAAGACACCCCCAAAAAAAAATTACTTGCAATTGACTTTGGCTGAGAAGAAAAACCGAATTTTTATCTTCATTTCTAATTCATCCATTTCTCAGAAACCAAATAGAAAATACTTTAATTTCAAATAAAGGATCATAAATCTATAAAGAGAAAGTGAATTTTTTTTTAAGTAAAGAAAAAAGATTTCAACTTTTGAGAAGCTTCGAAGTTGGAAATCATGAAGACATGCCATTTCGCATAAAGAAAGAGAAATTAGACAAAATTTTCTTTCTTTAAGGAAAAAGGAGAAAACTTGAAAAGCTTTCTTTATTTTGGAAGGATCGTGAAACTTTCTTTTTATCTTTCCTCCGTTTTCTTTGCAAACAAACAGGAAAAACTTGAGAAAAAGAAAAGTCCAGCTTAAAATAGTTTAGTTTGAACAATTTTAGGTTCTTTGAAACCAAATAGAAGCTAACAAACATTCAAACAGCTCAAGCAGCTCGAAGTAAGCTTAGGTTGAGCAATTTCTCATCATTTCCTTCACTTTCGAGGGAACCAAACAAAAACTAACTAAAAATTAAGCGAAACACAGGAAAAGTTTAAAATGCTTCCAGCTCAAAAAGCTATATGTTTTCTCGAAAGCTTTCAAACATTTCCTTCTCTTTCTCAGCAACCAAACAGAAAACTAGCAATAAATAAATAAATAACAAAAACGCACCACTAAGAGTCTGCCAACGAGAACCATTAGTAGATCCCTGAGCAGAAACCAAAGCTACCGAAGCTAACAAGGCTTGAACTGCAAAAATGGCAACCGAAATGCCACGTAAGCTTCCCATTACCGGAAATATCCCCTCCAACTGACAACTCAGCTCAGCTCCGCCACTGATCGCCGACGCCGGTTTTTTTTGCCTTGGTAAACCGCGCAAGATTAGAGAGAGAAAAGAGGAAAATACTGAACCTTCAGGCTGGCTTGTTTTGTTGGCTTCAATATTTATATTGTTCAATTTAATTAATTAAATTATTTTTTTAGTTTTTTCTCGACCGAATTGCGCGTTGTCCTATGGCTCGGCTCGAGCTGGTCTAGGGAAGCTTCCTGGCTTTCTGGAGGTTTTTGTCCTAAGCTGTGGGATAATGATTGACTGTTATCGCTTCCACTTGATTATCATGAGCCCTAAGATTTTTTTCTAATTTTGAGTTTTTCTTTTCTTTTTTTTTTTCACTTTATTTAGATATTTAGAGGTGAATTTATATTTAGGGAAATCAAAATAAAATAATTAGATGGATAAATTCAAAGTTTCATGTGATTTTTTTTTGGGTCCTTTAATTTTCCTTGGTAGTTGGATGTAATTAAAAAAGTAATTGGAAGTCTTGATGAAAAAAAAGACTTTTAATGTTAATTTAATAATAAAAAAGTCGTTGGAAGTCTTGTTAAAAAGGACTTTTAATATTAATTTAATAATAAAAAAGTTAAACTTGTTGGGGAAGAAAATGAAATATTTCATAAAAAATTAATTTTTTTGTAAATTTAAAATCTTGCACACGGTAATGTCGTGCAAAAATGTAATGAATGATATAACGAATTAATTACTTTAAACCTAACAACCGCAAAGACTAACGAAAAACGTATATGGTCATACTCGTCGATAAATGTGAGAAAAAAATTAAAATTAATTTAAAATTATAATATTTGGATCAATTTTTTATTAATTTAAATTAAATTTACATATTAAATATTTATTAGGTTTTGATTGAAATTTTGAATAAAAATAAAAAATAAAAAATAAATTGAATTAAACCAAAATATATTTTTTATTAACTTTTATATATTTTTTATATTGTTATAAAAAAATAATTATTTTATATTTAAATTTATTTAAGTATATAAAAAAACATATTAAAATATATATAAAAAACAAAAAATAAATAAATTAAAAAACGGATGAAATGAATCAAATCAATAAAATTTGATTCAAATCACATTGATTTCAATAAAAAATAATTTAAAATCAAATTAAATTTTAAAATTTTATAATATTATATACTATTTAAAAAATTGAATCAAATCAAATTAAACCTTAATAGTATCTATCAAAATTTAGATCACATTGTGATGCTTTTTCTTTTATACAAAGATTCTAAATTTAATGCTAATAAAAAGGATAGCTTAACCATGGAACAAATTTAATGCTAGTAAAAAGTATTACCTCTAATTAAAGAACTAGTGAACTATTAGATTATTAAAACTATTTTACTCAATTTGGCAAGATTATTAATTGTCTTTCTTATTTTTTTTTTTAAGTTTTCTCTTATTAAATCTATTAAGTACAAAATTATTTTTTATATAATGCACTCTAAGCTCTATTTGGATATAATCTCTCTTTTTAAAAATTAAAAAAATATACTATGCAATGTTATTTTCATAATTTTTTTTATAAATATCAACCCTAACCGATAAAGAAATGTGCTCTTTTTTATCAATTAGCATTTACAAATAATTTTTTCTTTATATGTAAAAATGAAAAATAATGAAATTATGTATAGTAATTATGATGAATATTGTTTGAAATTTCGTGAAATCAAAACCAATAATATAATAACTACAAATGTACAGTTAAACCAATTACAGGGCCAATCCATCTCTACCATAGATTTAATAATTCATGTATTTATATTACGTAAAATATTAAATTTTAATTAATATTTATTAGTATGAGTGATTAAAAAGTTAGGTTTTTTCTAAATATGATTTGAATTTTGAGTTTTGTGAATGAAAAAAAAAAAACTTTAAAAGAACTTATTCTTTTATGAAATTTGATTCAATGTTCAATTCTGGATTATCATCGAAATTTAAAGTGATTAATCAATATCAAAAAAATTAAATTTTATATATTTATATTATATTTTATATAAAAATTATATGATATAATTTATATTAATATAAAAATATAAAATATATTTTTTAAATTTATTAAATTTTTATATGATAATTATTAAAATTTTAAATTATGACACTTTTATATATTTTATTTATGTTATATTATATTATCTAAGTGTTTGAGATTGTAAATTGCAACAGTCAGCCACTGGATGACTCAACCGCTGAACTAAACCAGTCTAAAACCTATTCCAAAATTTTTTATTTCCAGCTCGAGCCTCCAACTAAAGCCAACAACCGGATGAGGTGAGGCCTGAGGGTGGGCCAAGCCAGCGAGTTTCCAATTGTAGGACAGCTAGATGGGGTCCACAAAATGGGAATTGCCATCCTGGCATGTTCCCACGTGGAAAAAGCCGATTGGTCTCCCACCACCGTAAGGTTACCGAAATGCGCAAAATAGTCAAGTTCCAAGTTGGATCCCACCGGCACCAAGGTTTGTTGCAAAATGAAACATTTAGCATATAATTTTGATGGTGAAATTAAAAATGTATGGCACATTGTTTTTAGACTATGGATTTTGTAGGGTAGAGTCAATGGGTAACCAACAATTTTTTTTTTTTAATTGATGGATACTTTTTTCTTTTTTCTAAATATAAAAAATATATTTTTGAATTTTATTTAAATTCAAATTTCCTCCTCTAATATATTAAGATCAAATTTTTTTATAAATTTAATACGTTAAAATTTTATTTTAAAAATATATTTTATAAAAGTCAAACTTTAATTAACATAAAAAACTACTTGCATTATCAATTTGATTAAACTTTTATAAATATTTTAAGGATGATTTTTCTTTTACAAAATTGATAATGTTTCTTATAAAATCAGATTCTAAATGACGTAGAAAAAGAACTACTTGCATTATTAATTAGATTAAACTTTTGTACGTCTTTTTTTATTAATGTTGGCCTTGATATTATAAGAATCTATGTAGAAATTATAGATTACTAGGGGCATGGTTTTTGTTATTCTAATGCAAGTGGAAAAGCCATTTGCACTATTATATCAACTTAATTTGGGTTTTTCCTAGAGGGTGTTGATAGAGAAGTAACCAACTAACTTAATTTTATAAATATTATTATTTGAAAATAGAAAAAGTGTTACAAAAAAAAAATTATTGAATTATTCAAACAACAAAAAAAAATTTATAACTAATTTTTCGTAAAACAAATAGAGCCTAGGATACAAAATAAGGATATATATATATATATATACTTTTTATTTATAACTTTGAATGACTTTTAGTGATAATTATTATCCCATGCATTAATTAATATATTGATTACAAAAGGAAAAAGGAAATTTTAAATTTGGCTAGTTTATATATATATATATATAAAAGAAATAATTGTACCATGCTTCCTTTGTTCATTACTATAAAATAAGTTAAATCATTACCAAACCATCTAAACTAAACACAATGAGGAGCCAAGAGGCATTGGAAAAGGTCAAACTTTCACATAAATTACATGAAAATTTCAAAAAAAAAAAAAGGTTTCTTGACATATGCTTACTTTCAAAACTATGATGCCATTGCCACAACCTTTATGGTCACATTCATATGTGGGAAAAAGTTTTGGCTCTATTCTAATATTGTTGAATTAAAAAATGACATTGATATTTTGAAATAAAAAAATTTAATTGATTCGTTCAATCATAAATAAAAAATATATTCAATAAATTTAAATTTTAATTCTTATAACTCATTCTCGTATTTTTAAATTTATAGGATATGAAGTTTGCTTCATTAGAAGACTTTACCTTAAGGCGTTTGGAAATTTTTTTTTGTTTTTTTTTATATTATATATGGTTAATTGCCCAATTGGTCTTCCCTGGTGATGCATACCAAGTCAACTTTATTGCAAGTCTTTTCTATTTACCTAATTAAATATATTCAAATTGTATTACAACTTTAAGTCTTTTAACATAGAGTGAATAAACATTGACATTAATCATTAAAATAATAAATAATTTAATGGATAAATAGTAGCATTGGATGTTATAGTTAACATAGAGTGAATAAACATTGACATTAATCATTAAAATAATAAATAATTTAATGGATAAATAGTAATATAACAAGTCTTTGCCGATTATGTATTCAAAGGATGTATGTATTCTTTTGTTAATTTACTAAGATGTTTACCTTTTCAATGGTGTTGGTAAATGGAACCAATAATGGCTCATACAATTGCTAAAAACATTTTATTAATAGTTAGTTGTTAAAAAATATAATCTTATGCTAAGATAACAACTATAAAACAACAAAAAAATTATCAATCTATGGCTTAATTAATTTCTTTATATATAATTATTTTTAAAAGATAATATTTGTCTGAAATTTAAATTCGAGCACTTATCATTTTTTTCTTTATCCTACAGTTGTGATATTCTTTATAAAAAAAATTATTAATATGATTATTAATTTATAATCTCGCATAAGAGCGTAAATAAATGAGACTTTTGATGAATCTTTTGTAAATATGTTCGGTTTTTATTTGTTTATATTCATTTATTAAGTTTAATAAATAATTTTGAATAAAATTTTTATATTCATTTATTAAAATAAAATTGAATACAAATATATATCTATTTAACAAGTCACAAATATGTATTTATTTATTTATATTCGATTCATTTATAGCCCCAATCTCTCAACCAAATTATAATATAGTTTATAGACTTTAAAAAATAAAAAAAATAAAAAAAGAAAGCCTGGAAACCCAATTAATTAAATTAACATATAATTACAGCTCTATAAAACTAGATATTACACTCCTGTCCCAAAATTATTGTCATGTAGTAATTTTCACGGAATTAAAAAAAGTTTTAACTTTAATGTATTTAATATTAAATTTTAAATTTTTTTATAAAATTAAAGTTTTATGATTTTTAATGTTAAAAAATAAAAATATAAGATAATATAATTTTAAAATATAAAAAAGAGTTTTAAAGTTTGAGATATCTAAAAAAAAAATGGACAAAGAAAATAAAATAAAAGAAGTAAAATATTTAAAATTTATGATAATTTACATGTTAATCAAAACAATTATCACCCATAATATCTTAGTGGACTTAGTATAACTAGATTTTGCACTTTAAATATAAAATATTCAGATTTAATTTCTAACAATTTCAAATATCAAAATATATGAAAGATTCGTAATGCCTAGCATTACGAAGTAGCTTCCTTTGTATGACATAATTCCTTTATTCCTCTACCTAATTATAATTAACGACATAATTAAATAAACAAAAAATAATTCATAGTCAAAGTCTCAAAGGAATTGCTAATTAAAAATACAGCAACACAGATTGTAAAATAAATATTCTGATATATATTATTGAGAAAGGAAGTTTCTCCGATCTGTCACCACATGGGATATAAAAAATATTTAGAAAAAAAAATTATATATAAATAAAAGAAGCAAAACTATGATGACATGGAAGGGAATGATTGGTCCACATCAGCAGAATGATTGTGAAAGAGGTTGGTTCTCAATAAGTGGACTCCACGACAAATTGGTTGTAGAAGGTGGGGGTCCTTAAGTACAAAAGAATTGTTGAAGGAAAGGGACACTATCCCTAATTCGGAAGAATATGTTTGCCTGCAGCCACCCTTTTTTTCTATATATATATTCCATTGTTTTGAATCATTCAAAAGAGCCAAACAAATTTGATTGAAACGTTTCTCTAACGTTGAATCAAGCCAAATCGTGGAGACCACTTACATTTATTGAATATATTTGATTTTGACAACATGATGTTGGAAATATAATTTATCGAATAAATAATTAGATTTATTTTTTTAAAAATTACAATAATAAATAGGTTTATTAAGGCAACTTATGCTCATTAATGAGTTTCGAATCCAAATATTTCATGTGAAATTCGAATTTAACGTTCATTATATAATAAAAAATCTAATGTTTTGATTTTTTAAGATATTCACTTTTTTTAAATAAAAAGCTATAGTTTAAGAATAAAAAAAATAATTATAAATGTTTGGACTGAAATTTTAGAACAATTTTTTTATTAAATTTAAATCAAATTTAAATATTAAATATATATATTAGATTTGAATAGAAAAATAAAATACGAAAAAAATCGAATAAAATTGAGTTACATATATTTTTAATTTTTATACCTCCTTTAAATTTTTATAAAATCAAAATAATAATTTTAAATCAAAATTTATTAAAATATATTAAAATTTTATATTAAAATAATATATAAAAAATTTAAAAATTAAAAAATCCAATCAAACTGATAAAAAATTTGATTCAATAAAAATTTATATAAAAAATTGATTAAATTTAATTTAAATTAAATTTTAAAAATTTATAATATTATATAATATTTAAAAAAATTAAATTAAATTTAATTCGATCTAAATCGATATCATAAAAAAATCATTTCATAGACCGATTGATTTAAATTTTAAAAATTTTAAAACCATCGCTTTACGATTAAAGGCTAAGGTCACTTAACAACACTAGGCTTTTGAATGATACAGAACAGATAAAAACAGTTGGTAGGGATTGTGTTAGTCGTCTCTATGTTAAATAATGTCGTCATGTTTTGGGTACATGCAGACATAATCACTTTCTCTGCCCGCCTATCTTTGTACCCAAACTCAATTCCTTTTTACTATTTTTGGAAGAAATGGGATGGCCTAGTATGGGATGACCTTGAGCGGGATAAAGTTTATTCGAATTCGAAAAATTTATTCAATCCAATTTGCTTAAACCCTCGATTTGATAAAAAAAATGAATAATTTATATCTAAATATATGAATTTGAATTAATTTAAAATGATTCAAATTTAAATAATTCCAAAAATTAACTAGTTTAATTTGACTTTAAAACTCAAATATTTGAATTGGATGATTCAATCCCGGAATCATCCAAATTTTTTTCATACAAAATGATGCAACCAGTCCGGATCAGCCAGCAAAATCCTTTCAATGGGTACCTAAAACTTTTTGATGGATATCCAGAGAAGGCCCAGGCAGGAAGTTTCAACTGGGCCTGACCCTGCAATCTAATAGCAAATCCTAGAACAGTTTGCTGATCCATTTTTGAGTTTTACACGGGAGGTTACATAACTCATGGTCATGTTGACACCTGGCAATATCCATGCAAGTGAAACCCTACGTGTCATTGCCAACTGCCAACACTCATTATCAGGACAAACTCATCACTCTTGTTTCTCTAGTTTTCCATCTTATAATCATTCAATGTTAATTAGTTGATCACCATCTAATAACAAAAGTAAGCAGAATTAATGGGGATGTTTGAGTTTATAAGAAACCTGGCAGATCAGCAGCATGAAAGGGTGGTACCTATTTCAGTTTTTGTGGCAATTCTCTGCCTATGTTTAGTTATAGGTCACCTGCTTGAAGACAACCGTTGGGTCAATGAATCAATCGCTGCCATCTTAATTGTTAACTTCTATCTTTCTCTCATTTTTTTGGATTTCTTTTCTTTATCTGTTATTGTTCTTTTTTCCCACCAAGGACTGTGATTTTCATGCTCTTTTTGCAATATATATATATATATATATACTATATATATTGTGTTTTTCTTTGTGCTAAAATTTCCAGACTGATTTCTTATGTAACTATTCCCACCCAGGAAGGAAATAACATAATTTCATGTATTTGTGTATTTTGTCTTCAAGGTAATTGGGTGGTTGATAGAAAAAGATTACTTTGGTAAATCTGTGATGCCTGTATGTGAAGTTCATTGAATGGTCACCTCGGAAACTGCTTTAAAACTGAATAAGAGAGGTAATATGTGTCTTAGGAGAAGTTGCAATATATATCAGAGGATTACAATTAACATACGTTCTGAGTATGTGTCTGGGATAGTTGAATGTATATGCTTGTGGATCTTCGAATCGATACATGTCATTAACTGGCTCAACATTCAAGCTGAGAAACTAATTAAGACATTTGGATTCTGCGTGTTATAGATATCATTTAGTGCCTTTATCAGGCTTGTCCTGTAACCCTTTTGCCTTTGCAGACCTTGTTTAATTATTTGGATCTTACCAAATATCGAGAATCTTGTCAAACCTTTTAAATTAACATATGGAAGTCTTACTGATTTAAAGTCTAATTGTCATCTTCTTGGTCAGGGATGTATAGCTGGAGCAGTTATCTTGTTCTTGAGCAAAGGAAAAAGCTCTCACATCCTAAGATTCAGTGAAGAACTATTCTTCATATATCTCCTTCCACCTATTATATTCAATGCAGGGTAAGGTCAGTTTTTTCATGTCATGCACATTTTTGTCTGTTGAATTAACTTGTCTTTTGAAATTAGCAAACTTCTTTATTAGCTGATTCACTTGCAGATTTCAGGTGAAGAAGAAACAGTTCTTTCAGAACTTTATAACCATCATGCTTTTTGGAGTAATCGGGGTTTTCATCTCAGCATCAATTATTACAGTCGGTAAGTTTGATTCCGTCTAGGCTTTGTTTTTTTCACTATTAATTTGTCACGTGTAATTCTAAATTCATGGATGGTATTTTTGTCCTAGGCAGTTGGTGGCTGTTTCCCAAGCTAGGATTTGTTGGTTTGACTGCACGAGACTATCTCGGTGAGATCCTTGGTCAACTAATATTCCAAATATTCCAATGCAGGGTTAATTTATTATGTTTTGATAGCTTCTACTAGTATTGTGTGTGAATTTCATGCTTTTTTGTTACAGCTGTGGGAACTATTTTCTCATCAACAGATACAGTGTGCACATTGCAGGTTGGTCAGTTTGCAATTTTTCTCTTGTTTTGAGCAGCTGCTTTTATTATTTCACAGGGAATTTTTATCAGATTTCGTGGCTTCCTTATAGGTTCTTCATCAAGATGAAACCCCTATATTATACAGCCTAGTCTTTGGTGAAGGAGTAGTGAATGATGCAACATCAGTTGTCCTCTTCAACGCAATCCAAAAGATTGATGTTACAAGAGTTAACAGCCGAACAATTCTTCAGTTGATTGGAGATTTCTTTTACCTGTTCTCAACAAGTACTGCTCTTGGAGTAACTGTAAGCTACTGCTCTTGATCTTTTCTCTGACAGTACATGTCAAATGTTATAACATTAGGCTTCGATCTTGTCTTGGTGCTTCTTAATCCTGGCATGTTTATGTCTTGTTCTCTTGCAGTTTGGACTTGTAACAGCATATTCACTTAAAACCTTATACTTCGGAAGGTTAGAGGCTTCTTCAAATAAAAAATCATTGGAAAATGCCACAATGCTCATTGTTTTACTTTCTTTATAGTGGAGACGTCCTAGTAAAATCTGCATTCTATCTGTTTGCAGACATTCGACTGTTCGTGAACTTGCTATTATGGTTTTAATGGCGTATTTGTCTTACATGTTAGCTGAGGTAACACCTAGTAAAATCTTGAAACTTGATGACGTTTTATAATTCTAAGCAAATTGAAAATGCTGCAGGATTGGCTTGAGCATTCAAGCAATGCTATTATCATTAACTGAAATAACCTTTTGTTTCATTCTTATTTATCATAGAGTTTTTACAATTTCTTTGTTCTCCATTTCAATTTCTTTGTGCAGCTGTTAGAACTTAGCGGAATTCTCACTGTTTTCTTCTGTGGAATTCTGATGTCACACTATGCATGGCATAATGTGACTGAAAGTTCAAGAATCACAACAAGGCATGTGCTTGGATAGTAGTGACTGATGTTTTTTCTTGGTTCATAGCAAGGCTTCACATTCCACAGACTTCTTATAATCATCGTTATTTTCTTTTGCAGGCATATATTTGCAATGATGTCATTTGTTGCAGAAACCTTCATATTTCTCTATGTAGGAATGGATGCTCTTGACATGGAGAAGTGGAAGATGACTAGAGTGAGGTTTTATGCTTACCTTTCTTCGTTTTTGAACCAGTTTACTTCTGTTCACCTTACAGCTTCTGGCATTGGTTCTGTGTTATTGGTAATTGAGAAAAGTAATAGCATGTCACCTATACTTTTGCATAGTCAATCGGACTGCTCTTTATGGTAATTGTCCTGCAAATTTTACTTTTATAACTCAGGTTACTCATCAAACACAGAAGTGAACTGATTTACGTATAGCTGAAGTTCTTTTTTTCGATAGACAAGCAGTAATGCCCTCACTTGTTGTTGGTTTCAGTTTTGGGACTTTAATGAGCAGCTTTGGCAGTATAGTTCTTCTAATTCTGCTCGGACGTGCTGCATCTGTGTTCCCTCTCTCTGCTTTCTCCAATTATATGAACAGGCGTCCCCAGAGATCACCATCATTAACTTTTAAACACCAGGTTACTAATTCAATTTTTCCATGCTAACCTTCTTGTAACAAATTTCCTATGTGATTGGCAGAACAGAAGTTTATGAACATTGTACTTATCCAGGTAATTATCTGGTGGGCTGGGCTAATGAGAGGGGCAGTTTCAATTGCTTTGGCTTTTAAGCAGGTGTTTTTTCATCTCAATTGTATTAGCTGTTCTATATGCTTAAAATAATGTGTTGAATCACAACTTGTGCTCAATAAGATTCCATATTCCTACTGATGTTCTTGCTTCATTATTACAGTTCACATATTCCGGAGTTACATGGGATCCAGTCAATGCCGCAATGATAACCAACACCATAATTGTTGTCTTGTTCACAACGCTGGTATGTAACTAAATTTTACTATAAATTTAAAGATTTGGAATCTGAGAAGCAAGTGTGTATTTGGAAGTAATGTTTTCTTCATTAACGTCATCTTAATGTTTGATGACATTCTAAGAAATCATTTTGTTTCAGGTGTTTGGCTTCCTAACAAAGCCCCTTATATATTACATGCTTCCTCACCGCGTAATTGACAAGAATGACAGCAGTGTAGGATCAAAATCCCCAAAGGAGGACATGGCCCTTCCTTTGCTCTCCTTTGAAGAATCTGTCTCGACCAATATCCTTCGTGCAAAGGATAGTTTGACCATGTTAATCGAAAGGCCTGTTTACACAGTACATTTCTACTGGAGAAAGTTTGATGACACCTATATGAGGCCAATATTTGGTGGCCCTCTTAGCAGTCCACCAGAATGTTAGATAGCCGACATCGCATATGCTAATTTCATGAAATTGTTCTAGCCAGTTGTAAGTTCAGACTGAAAATTGGCAAGTCCTCTGCTAATGACAGTAAGTTTGCCCCTTTTCTGAAGCATGGTTGCTTTGCAGTCCTATATAGCAGTATGCTAGAGGGCTTGAATGAGTCTGATTTAGACTTCTAGCCTTCCATGTTTGTCCAAAAAGACATTGCTGGTAACAGCAGTCTTGCACATATGAGACATTGCAGTGAAATGATTCACATAAGTTTCATGTTTTTCTCTTTGTTTCTTGCTGGTGCTTCTAGTTAATGTCACCATCTATGTATAATGGTTGATGATTGCCTTAAAAGGCTTCAACTCAGTTGCCAACTCGTATTTTTCAATCTTTGAAATCAAAACAAGGGATTGATGTGATTGAAACAAGAAGAAAAAGATAGTACAAATTGGATAAAACACAAATTTAGCAGCACTTCCAATACAAATACTGTCTCAACATGATTCAAAATCTACAGCAGATGGTCCAAAGGAAAATGACAAACTTGAAGTGCTTCAGGCTGGAAACAACAAAATGTATCAGTCAGAAAGCAACTAAGAACAATAAATTGTAATGCAATTTTGATGTTACCATTTGATTAGTCAGAAACTGTTTTGTTTAGAACTTACCCTTGCACTGTGGTGGTATGGGAGCATTAGATTTGCATTTCTTAGGCAATGCAAATGCATTGGCAGGGTCAATATTCAAGGCAGGAAGAGCATCCTTGAAGTTGCAGAGACAAGTCAAGCTAGCGTGTTTGATCAAACTACAGCATTCCTTGGTTGGTGCCGGAGGATTTTTCCCTGTCACCGCCGGACGACACAGGTTGAGCTTGGCCATGGGAATATCACAAATGGTTGGCTCATTGGCTCCTTCTACCAACACAATGAGCAATACTGCTACCAAGCAATGCACCAAAAGTTTCCCACTAGCCATAGCCATTTGCTTGCCTCAAAACAATCCCAAATCCAAATGCCAAGTTAAAACTCTTGGTCTAGACTAAATTTATAGCAAGGGTTTTGAAGTTTGTGGATTCAAAAAAATCTCTCATAGTCATGTATGACATGTGAATCCAGTGAGTAGGAGAGTCACGAGAGAGCTCAAAGAGCAGAAAATACAAAGCCATTGAGTCAGACTATGGTGTTTGATTGGTAACCAACAAAGATCTATGAAGAATATTTCCATGGTTCCATAAAAAAAATAATAATAAAAAAAAGAATGTCAGTTTGATCTTTCATTTGTTCTTCCCTGGTTATCACATCGATGGGAATCTTTTCACATGGTATTTCAATTTCATAGTTTGTCAATTTAAACTTTTTATACAGACTATAATCAAAGCATGTAGGGATTATATTTCAAAAAGATTGGATCTTCACTTAGATAGTGTTTGATATCATTTTTAAATTATCACGATGATCTAATTGTAATATTGATAAGATAATATTTGATCACTAGTGATTTTAGATTATTATACTTGATATGATATTATATATCATTGATATTTTTAAATTATTGTATTTAATATTATATGAAAAATAAATTATATAGTACAAAATATCTAAAATAATTTTATAAAAAAAGTAAAATATTTAATACTTATTCAATCAACAATTTATAAAATAATTAAACATTAATTTATAAGAATCTACAAAAATAAATCAATATTGATAAAAATCATTTTTTAAAAATTATTAAATAAATTCATTATCTTTTTTCCAATCAATATAAATTTATATTATAAATTTTTTAGAATAAGTAATTAAAAATTATTTTCTAAAAATTTTTAGTGACTAGTTTCTTTAGTAAGGTTAATTGTATTTTTTGTAAGGATAAAGTAATTAGAAAATAATATTAAAAATTACTTTCTCATATTGATAAAAAATTTCATTTTTTAAATTAAAAATTGATTCACTTCTCAAGACAATGATTTTATTATTTCAATAATTTAAAATTACTATCATATAAAATTTTAAATTGTTATCAAATAAAATAATATAACTATTGAATGTAAATTACCGTAATTTCTAAAAAAATAATCTCATGCCTAATACTTTTTTATTTTTCAATCAAATCCCACATTTTGGCAGCTATATTTTCACCAATAAACTAAACCATATTGTTGAATCTTAATCAAAAATATATTTTGCATATAACTTTTTGACAATACCAATGTAATCACAATAAAGTATTTGGCTTGACATTCATTGTCTTTGGTCCACTCCACAGCCTAGATTTAATTGAAAAAAGTAAGCTATTTTTTTTTATCAATAATAGTTTTGTAATTTTTATATGCTTGACTATAAAAATTCCTCTATTCATATGTTTACATGCAAACCTAAAAATTAGAACATATTAAATAATATTTCTTTGTAATATCCATTTGGAATTATATTAATTTATTCATTTTCTTTAAGTAAAATTTAAATTTTATTTTTATATATAGTGAGTGAAAATTTTAAATTTCATAAAAGGTTAATGAATATCATATACTTTTCTTTATTTTACTATTATTTTTTAATATATCGTAAACCAATGATAAAATTGACTATGTATGAAATAATTTTTTAAAAAATTTAATGAAAAATGTCTTAAATTAGTTACCCATTTTTCTTTTATTGACATGATAATAGGTTTACCACAAATTTTTCTTAAGATAAATATTTTTTGTATGATAATTAGAGGTGTTCATGGATCAGTTTAGATTGATATATTTACCTAAATTTAATCTAGCTCGATATTTCGAATCTTAAAATTTTTTTAAAATTGTTCAATTGAAAAAATAAATCATATTAAATTTAATTTATATAATAAAATTTTTTTAATCATTTAAAAATAAAAATAAAAATTCATATATATTTATATAATTATAATATTTTAATTATATATTTTATTCAAATCCTCTCAGACTAAATTTTAATTTTAATTTTTTTTATCTTATACCAAACATGAAACTTAAACGAGCCTAAATATTATTTTTAAAATTATTTAATGAGTTTTAATTTTTTATTCAAATTTGCTTAAAATATAAGTGAACTTTCAAAATTAAACAAATAATCTAATTTTTAAACAAGTCTAATGATAATCTCCTAAACCTCGATTAATTAAATATAGATGTTAATTTTTCATTTATTGTTTACTAATTATTATTATCTTCATTACCTCAAATTATTTTGTTCATTCAATTTGACAACTCTTGAAGTTTAATTATATCTAATAATATCTCTCAATTTTATTTTTATTTATTTTATTTGTAGGACAGGTAGTTGTTAAGTACAATAAAATCCATCCAAAAGTAGTTGCACGAGATCCCAAACTCCACCCCCTTTACCCCACAAATACACGTGTGCACACAAATCATCTGACGTGTCAAACAACCAAAGCGAGTGCATTCTCTTACAATACTCTCATAAACACCCAATTCTTAACAGAATAAAATCTGTTTCGAGGCCTGTCTTTCTCTTTGCTGTCTTTAAGGTGAGAAAAAACTTAAAACAGTTTTTCTTTTCCTTTTTTTTCCTCTATTTTTCACTTTGCTCTTCTTAGAAGAAAAATCGATCCTTTCTCTCTCTACAACCCCATTTCGCTCTATATATAATCAATCATATAAATATACATTTGTTAATTTTTTAAAGTGATTATTTTTGTTGTGTAAATTTTGATGTAAAGCCAAAAACTTTGAAAGGAACTGAATTGGTTCATTGAAAAACCAGAAAGTCTTTGCTTTTTTACAGGTAAATGTTTCTGGGTTTGCTCTGTTTTTGTGTTTTCTTTGTTGGGTTATTGTGCTTTTGAGTTTTCTTTGTGTTTCTTTTTTCTTCTATAATTGGTTGTTCCTGTTGAATTATCTTCGCTTGCAGTTTGGTTATCGAGGTGTTACAGGCTGAATTATCTTTATTCCTTTAAAGTTGTTTTTTTTTTTTTTTCTGTTTCATTTTGAAACTAAATAATGGAAAATGAATTATCTTGGTAGTTGTTTATTGGATTTCCAGTTTTTGTTAATCTTTAAAAGCAATCTTTAGGATGGTTTCAACATGACTTCTTGTTAATCTTTATGTTTATGGGATCTAAAGTTGAGTTCTGGATTTGAATTTTTTATTTTTAGATTTTTTTTATTAGTTTGTATCTTTTAGGGGATTAAGGTATTGGATTTTCATGATTTATATAAGTTAAAAGCAATAAATAGGGAATGTTTCATGAAGGGTCCTTGTTGTTAATATGTTTATAGGATCTAAAGCTGAGTCATTGATTTGGTTTTCTGATTTTCAGATTCTGGAGCTAAAGGAATCTTGTTGGAAAGTTTGGCTACTTGGGTAGTTTGGAGTGTTATTTGAGTCCTGCATTGATCATTGAATTCTGGATTCTGGATTTAGTTGGTGTAATTTGGAGAAGGAATTTTAGGTGGACTTTTCTTTTCTCGGCTCGGGTAATCTGTAGATATGTCTAGTTTTGTGGGCGTTGTTGTCTCTGATCAATGGCTTCATAGCCAATTCACACAAGTTGAGCTTCGCAGCCTTAAATCCAAGGTAGGCATACTTTGTTCCCTGTTCAACTTATTGGTTGCATTATCATTCAATTTTATTGTAAGCTTTTGTGTTTGTAATTGGATAGAACTTTAACTGTCTGTTTTTTTTATATATATGATTTCTAGTTTGTTGGATTAAAGAACCAAAACGGTAAAGTTACAGTTGAAGATTTGCCGCCCTTGATGGTGAAATTGAAGGCTTTTAGTACTATGCTTACTGAGGAAGAGATTAGACAGATATTGTGCGAATCCTATAGTGACATGAGCAATGAGATTGATTTTGAAACATTCCTCAGGGTGAGTCATATATATAACAGCTTGTTTATGCTCTTAGTTGTATTTTATTTACTGTTATTAATGGTGTAGTATTGTAACATATGGAAAAAAGGAATCATTGCTTCAGTTAAACTTATGTGGCTGCTTAGATTCTATTAAGTTGCATGCAAGTGGGAATTATAGACTTCAACTTCGGTTGATGCTGGAATTAGTTAAAGGGGGCTAACATTATGATTGGATGCATGGAATGAGCAGGTGTATTTAAATTTGCAAGGTCAGGCTACAGGAAAATTGGGTGGTCCAAAGAATTCATCATCGTTCCTAAAGGCCTCCACAACCACTCTTCTTCACACAATCAGTGAATCAGAAAAGGCCTCTTATGTTACACACATAAACATTTATCTTGGGGATGATCCATTTTTAAAGCAGTTTCTTCCGCTGGATCCAGCTACGAATGATCTTTTCAATCTTGCAAAAGATGGAGTACTTTTATGGTATTTTTATGGGGTGTGCTCCATTATGCATTTTCCTTTTTTATTTTTTCAATAAAAGCTTGTACAGAGCGTTGACACTGCTTCTGTTATCTCTTGTATTTTGCAGTAAGCTTATCAATGTTGCTGTGCCTGGAACAATAGATGAACGAGCTATCAACACAAAACGGGTACTTAACCCATGGGAGCGCAATGAAAACCATACCCTTTGTCTCAACTCTGCAAAGGCTATTGGCTGCACTGTGGTAAACATTGGCACCCAGGACTTGGTTGAAGGAAGGGTTAGTACAGCTAAACAGATTCCTATGTGAGTTAGAATGAAATATTCTGATAATCTGATGTTTTTCATCTTGATTATTTTTATGGCAGCCTCATCTTTTACTTGGGTTGATATCTCAAATTATAAAGGTATGCTTTTAAATTTAATTCTACTATTTATGTGCAATCCCTTGTGTAAGCTTTAAACTGTCTTGATAGACTGAGAAAAGTAGTCTGTTAACTTAAGACAAGTTGGTTTCAGGTACTCTTTTTCTCATCCTTGTTTACTATCTGTGACAATTGCAGATTCAACTGTTAGCAGATCTCAACCTTAAGAAGACACCTCAGCTTGTGGAATTGGTGGAGGATAGCAATTCGGTAATATATCTCTTTATCAAGTGATTGATGTTTAACTACGAATAAATTCATTAAATAAACATGTTTTAAACAAACGGACTGATTCTTTCCCTTTGAATTATTGTAACTTGCAGGATATTGAGGAACTTATGGGGCTATCTCCTGAGAAGGTTCTACTAAAATGGATGAATTTCCATTTAAATAAAGGGGGCTATGAGAAAACCGTCACAAATTTTTCTTCAGATTTGAAGGTATTTGACTGTGTTAATAATTCATTTATTGGCAAGGGTAGGATAAACTGATAAAGTGGATTGCTATACATCTATTAGATGCATTACTCAATTTTGCTTGCATTGATAATTCTATATTTTTTACTCATTCTCTCACACATGCAGGATGCAAAAGCTTACGCTTACCTGCTTAATGTTCTGGCACCAGAGCACTGTAATCCATTGACCCTAGATGCTGAGGATGCTGCCGAAAGGGCAAAACTGGTACTTGACCATGCAGAGAGAATGGGCTGCAAACGGTATTTGAGCCCAAAAGACATTGTTGAGGGCTCAGCAAACTTAAATCTTGCGTTTGTGGCTCAAATCTTTCATCAAAGGTGAGAAACAACAAACATTGCAGTTGTAACACGGACTTTTTCATTTTTTTTTAAAAATAATCCTTTTAGTTTAGTAGTATTAATCATAGGAAACTGTTTTCTGATCAATCTGGAGCTAACTCCGCTGTAAGAGGTTTCAGGAATAGGCTGTGGTCTTGTGCCTTACAAAACTGTTAATATGAAATTAATTGGACTCAAGGTGCATGGATTTTTTCTCATGTACTTTAGGTCATGAATGGCTTTGTTGTAACTTCTTGTACATTACTATTGGTTCTATGCCATCCATATGTTTTATTAGAAAGATTGGGAGAAAGTGCTATGATTTGATTTTAAAGGGTTTGGCTGTGGCGTTTTTCAGATGGTTTGCCCGTTCCTTCAATCTTTTTATCTTGCTGGTGTTTTAGGTTGTTTAGTTAGTAACATTAAGTCTGCTCTTTGCTCTTTATACGATGTCTCTAGTTTTGTAGTTGAGTAAGAAAAACATGTTTTCTTTTGCAGGAATGGCCTGAGTATAGATAGCAGAAAGATTTCTTTCGCAGAAAGGATGACCGATGATGTGCAAATATCCAGAGAAGAGAGATGTTTTCGACTATGGATCAACAGTCTTGGAATTGCGAGTTATGTTAATAACGTCTTTGAGGATGTTAGAAATGGGTAAGTCTTCCTCTTCTCTGATATGCTTGAGTTCTGTGCATTATCCTTACTGTAGATTTTAGCAAACACTACAAAGAAAGAGGTTATTTTAATTGCTTGTCCTTTCTCTTAGGGCGAGGGTATGCATGCATTTTTCATGTCCAAGCTGGCACTTTTTTGCATATGTTTCAACAATTTCAACTTCATTTTGTTTCTGTCATATAATTTATGTTGATCTTTGAAGGAAGGTATCATATTTTTGTAATTCCAATATTTCAACTATCAACATAAAAAGCTTAATTTTGATGCAGATGGATACTTTTAGAGGTGCTTGATAAGGTTAGTCCTGGATCAGTCAACTGGAAGCATGCATCGAAACCTCCAATTAAGTTTCCATTTAGAAAAGTGGAAAATTGCAATCAAGTAGTAAAGATCGGGAAGCACTTGAAATTTTCTGTTGTGAATCTTGGTGGAAATGATATAGTGCAAGGAAATAAAAAACTCATTGTTGGTAATCTCCTGTCTTGTTTTTCTTGATATTATATGATTTCGTTCACAGCTTGGCACTTTTTGTCGTTTAATATTGGCAAAATTTTGATCCTTGTTGAGTGTCAAATGCTAAAAAAGGATTACATGTGTTACAGCTTTCCTATGGCAATTGATGAGGTTTAATATGCTTCAACTTCTGAAGAGTTTGAGATCCCGCTCCCGAGGAAAGGAGATAACTGATGCTGATATCATAAATTGGGCGAACAGGAAAGTCAAAAGTACAGGAAGAACCACTCAAATTGAAAGCTTCAAGGTTTTACAATGATTGGCATTTTTCTTATATATTAAACATTGTACGATTTAGGAGTTAAGACTAATGATATATACGTACGTCATGCTAATCCGCAGGATAAGAGCCTATCCACTGGACTGTTCTTCCTTGAACTTTTAAGTGCTGTGGAGCCAAGACTGGTCAACTGGAACCTTGTAACCAAGGGTGAAAGTGGTAAGACTACTTGCTAACTGGAATCATTCTTTGACTGGATTATTAGTGACATTATTTATACTTAGAATGAAGCTTACCTCTGTCTGAGAACGTGCCGATACTGAGCTGAACTTATTGTGCCTGTTGGAATTATAGATGACGAGAAGAGATTGAATGCAACATATATCATAAGCGTGGCTCGAAAACTTGGATGCTCCATTTTCTTGTTGCCTGAAGACATCATGGAGGTAAGGCTGCAAATTTTCTATGTTACTCGTTACTTCATTGCACTGTCAGATTGATGCATCAGTCTCTGCAACTTTAGCAAGTTATTTAAATAGAATCAGCACACTTCCATAGGCACGCAAGCCCTGTTGTGAATCTCAATTTCACATCTCCACAGCTAAATGGAATTAGAAAATGGATTGAGATCTCTTCTCTTATCAGTTTTAGATATTGCAAGCTTTTCTTGAGTAAATTGAATAGTTGGAGGTTAAAATGGCTGCTCTCATGTTATGACAGGTAAACCAGAAAATGATCCTCACTTTAACAGCCAGCATAATGTACTGGTACCTTCAACACGCAGCGGAAGAGGGTGAGATGAATGGCAACGGTAGTACTTACACATCAGATGCATCTCCGGCACCATCCATTAGTGGCGAAGATGAAAGCTCCTCACTGTGTGGTGAAATCTCAAGCTTCACCATCGATGATGCAGCGTCGGACATTACAGTCTCGTCATCTCAATTTGAGAATGAAGATGCTACTCTCGAATAGGTGACATTGAATGGCAACTGTGTACCTCCATACATGATCAGACCAAGTAGAACGGAAAAGAGTGAATATGGTTGCAGTTAGGTAGGGGTCTCATACTCATGCAACTAGACCCTGAACTGAAAGAATTGTCTACTTTTTTTTTTTTTTTTTTTTTTCTATTTCTTTTCAGAATTAAAAGCTAGGAAAGAGCAAAATTCTTCCCCGAAACACAGTAAAAAGAGAAAAAAAAAATCCAACCGGCTACATTTTGAAAAAAGAAAAAGTGCCGGAATATACGTTTATATATGTATTATTTTATTAATTCCGTTGTTAGAATCTAAAAATTTTACGGATGAATAATATTCTTTGACAATAATAGCGTAAATATCATAAATTGTACAATCTACTATGAAAATTGTTGACAAATGTTTGTTGACAAGTGCAAAGAATGAGGCAATTTTTTTTCATTGATTTGCCAATCTGTGTGTTGCATAGTTAACTTGAGTCACTTTGGTGCAAGTTTCCTTAATTTATAACAATTTGGGTTATAAATTTGCATTTTTCCTTTTTTCTTTGAGCATTCTAAGGTCAAGAATCAAATCCATGCACATATCAATTGATAATTTAAAATACGATATGATAATATAATATGAATATGATATAATTAAAATATACAAAAATAATATACGAAAATAATATAATTTAAAATTTTAATTATAATTACATATAAATTTAATAAAATAAAAAAATATTTCATGTTTTGTATCGATACTAATTATAATACATTATTTTTATATAAAATATAATATTAATACATAAATTTTAATATTTTATGTGATACAAATATATAAATTACCACATCCAAAATAATGATATAACGGAATTATTCCCATGTTCTTAGCACAAGGCACGAATTTAGCATGGAATTAAATCCAACGGCTACATTTAATTTAAGCCCAAGATCAATTTAAAAAAAATTACTCATTTAATCCTGCTACGAAGTAAAAAAATTTCATTTTATTTTTATACTATTTAGGAATTTATTTTTTATTTTTTATTATCATAACATAAAAATACTTAGCAATAATAAAATATTTTAAAATTTTCAAGTTTTAACTTTTAGAAGAAGAGAGAGAAAGAAAATACATCAATTTTTAAAGGTTAAAAAATAAAAATTGGAGAATTCGTTTAAAATATTATACGTCGTCGTCTGGCTCCCTTTCGTTCGCATACGGTTTCTCTACAAAACCCAATCGCCAAAATCTCTTATTCTTTTGTTCTTTATTTCGCAAATATCAAATCCCGAAGGAAGTTCGAAACTGAAAGCGCGAAAACTAGGGTTTTGGCTTTTAATTATTCTCTGGTAATAATTATTTTTTGTTCTTTTCTCTCGTTTTAATATATTGATTGATATTACAATGCGTTTGTTTCCCGAGAAAATTGACAGCAAAAAGAAAGGGAAAGACTTTTTGGTTTGTTTTTTCTTTTAAAAGTTTGTTTTTTTTCCTCTATCGTCCTAGTTAAAGTAATCTCCTTAAGTTTCTTTTCCTTTAGTTATTGATATTTTTTTGTAATATGATCAGTGTATTGTGATTAGTTTTTTTAATAGTAATTATTATTGTAGCGATTTCGTTTACTGTTAATTACAGAATTCTTAATAGACTCTTGTTTTTTTTTTTTTTTTTTTAATATTATCATTTGTGGTAATGGATGATAAAGATGAAGAGGCTTCACAAATGATTGTTGTTGCAATTTTTCGGACTTAATTGTGTTATTCTTAATAAAATCGAGTTAATTATTTTCTTTATTGTTTTATCAATATGAACAGAGCGGTAATGGCGTTTTCTGATGATGAAGAAGAAGAGGCATTACTCCATTCGGTGTCGAACTACTATTTTCATGATGAAAAAGACGAGGCGGTTTGCTTTTCTGAGTTGCCACTTCAATTGGGGGGAAAGGAAAGTTTAATTAATGGGGGTGAAAAGAAAATATTTTTGAGAGGAGCAGCAGATGATGGGCTCTTAACAATTTGCAAGCATGTCACGGCTTGGAAATTCGATCTTTGTAACATTGGGAAGCCAGAGATTTTTGTTTTAAGTAAAGAAAATGGGTGGCTTAAGCTACAAAAGCCGAGGAAGAGCTACGAACCTGAGATTAGGAGTGTTTTGATATCGGTTCATTGCTTGCATCTTCTTAGTAAGAATCCAGATTTGTCAGGGAAATCGTTGTGGGAACAGTTAGCTAAAACTTTTAGGTAGGTCACCGCTCTTTTGGGTGTTTTTTTTTTTTTTTATCCTCAGATTAAGCTATTTTTAAAGTATGAAAATTGTTGGGTGTCTTTCTTTTGTTTTTTTTTTTTAACTTTCTTTGGTTGTTTGCAGCTTGTATGATGTGAAGCCTTCGCAGAATGATTTGGTGGATCACATGGAGTTGATTTCTGAGGCTGTTAAAAGTGATGATTCCTTAGCAAAATCCAAGGTTTGTGTGCAATTTGGTAAAATTCTTTTGGTGCATTCAGCTGTTATTTGTTACTGGATAATGTGGGAGTTGTGTTTAGCATGTCGTAATGTGCAATGAATTTTATATCATGATTCTTTGATTTGTAAAACATGAGAGGAAAGTATTAAGAATGGTAGTTAATTAAAATGATGCTGCTATCTTTCTGGTTCTTCATGCAATTGAATTCAATGGGAGGTTTATGTTTTGCACAGTTTTTGTGCACATTTTTGGAGGAGAAGCCCAGAAAGAGGAAACTTGCTGATGAGGTTAGACATTTCAACTTATATGTTTACTCTTTCTTGGATTATTTCTTCTTCAAATCTGATTATTTCCTTTTATGCTTTTTTTCCTCAAAATTTTATGTTATTTTAAGCAAGTGTACTTATTGATCATTTAGAATGTTCGAGCCACATCAATTTCTGGATTTATAGTGGATGATGTAGATGATGCAGTTGATTGCCCTGAGCTAGATGATTCTGCTGATGATGATGATGAAGATGAACTGTTTGATTCAGTTTGTGCTTTTTGTGACAATGGGGGTGATCTTCTATGTTGTGAAGGAAGATGCATGAGAACATTTCATGCAACTGTAGAGGCTGGTGAAGAATCTGTCTGCGAATCTCTTGGCTTTACTAAGAAGCAAGTTGAAGTAAGCTAGTGACCCATTTTTACTTTATGGGCTTTTTAATTTGGTGCTGTAATGTTCTAATTATTAAGCTATACTAAATGGCAGGCAATGCAGACTTTCTTATGCAAGAATTGTGAATATAATCAGCATCAGTGCTTTTCTTGTGGGAAGTTAGGCTCTTCTGATAAGTCTTCTGGTGCAGAGGTATAATACCAACGATAAATATTGATTGGAACTTTATTTTTTTGTGGCATTGGTCTGTTTGTTTTCTCATTGGCCTATTTGTTTTAATTGTATTTTATCTATCAGATTGTTTAGCTAAAATTGAGCTTCTTTTTTATTTTTTTTGGATAAATTTTCTTATGGAAATTCTCTTGGTCTTTTAGTTAATAGATTTTGATTTCTTTTTGTTGTAAACTCAAAAAATTTTGATTACTTTGCCAGGTCTTTCGCTGCAGTAATGCAACTTGTGGCCGCTTTTATCACCCACATTGTGTGGCAAAATTGCTCTATAAGGGGGATAAAGTTGCTGAGGAAGAGCATGGGCGTAAAATTTCTGCAGGGGAATTTTTTACATGCCCCATTCATAAATGTTGTGTTTGTCAACAAGGAGAAAACAAGAAGGTTCCAGAGCTGCAGTTTGCTTTGTGTAGACGTTGCCCCACATCATACCACAGGAAATGCTTACCAAGGTACACCTAAGATTTTTTGTCTTTTTATTTACGTTTTAAGCACATTTTATCAGAATATGTCCCATGTTTAATGAAGTAATTGATTTCTTTTTGCTTCTACCAGAGAGATTGCATTTGATGATAAAGATGAAGGAGGAATTGTAACAAGGGCTTGGGATGGTCTACTTGTCAATCGTGTACTTATATATTGCTTGTAAGTGTTCTAATTGTGTTGTTTTCATTCTTTTGTTTGCTTTAATGGTTTGCTAAATTGTTTGTCCTGTTGTTTTGGCTAGAAAACATAAGATCAATGATGACATTGGGACTCCAGAAAGGGACCATATAAAATTCCCCTTTGTTGAAGACAAGAAGAGTGCTTTTGATGGAAGGAAGAAAAGAAAGGCGTCAGATTTGCTCAGAAGTCATGAAAAAGTTGGTTTGAAGAAGAAAAGTCTTGCATTAAAAGACACTTCACAAGAAAGAACTGCCATGAAAGCTGTGAAGCAGTTGTCTTCTGTTGTTAAAGATGGTCTAACTAGCAAAAAGAGTGAAAAAGTTACTCCTGGTACAAATTCTCTAAAGAAAGACAAAGCCATTGGTGCATTCAAAAAGCCTTTGAGGCAGAATTTGAAGTCTGTGCCAATGGAGGTGAGCGAATCCTTTGCAGCTGATGGAACCAAGACCTCCCTGGGGGAGAGACTATTCGACTTTATGACTCACGAGAGTGAGCAGGTTAGGCCTGGGAGACAGGATACGCTTAAAGGTGGTTGTAGTAAGACTGTAATGGTCAAGTCTACTGCAAAAAAATTAAGCTCTGGAATGGCTTCATTAGATGCTGATTCTGAGAGAAGGTGGACCTTTTATTTCTGCTTTAGTTAGTCGTATTTTTCTTGTTTCCTAACAATTAATAACATAGGGGCACACTGATATGTTTTGATGTTTTAGTTTATGCATAAAATGTTTCTTGGTCTTAGACTTATTCTTTGCAATGTAGATTACTGACTTTAATGAAAGAGGCTGAATCATCGGTAACTTTGGAAGATGTCATAGCAAAGCAAAAAGTGCCATCTACGCATGCATATTCATCAAAAAGTGTTGTAGACAGGACAATTACTCTTGGAAAGATAGAGGGTTCAGTTGAGGTATTTCATAACTCCAAATAAGTTTGCTTTATAGCTTTAAGCAAAGGTATGATTTTGCTGTGGGTGTGTTCGTTTTATTTGAGTCTTTATTCAACTGTGCAGGCTGTTCGAATGGCTTTAGCAAAACTAGAGGATGGCTGTAGCATAGAAGATGCTCAAGCTGTTTGTGAGCCAGGAGTTTTGAACCAAATATTTAAGTGGCAGGTTGTTACCCTTAATTTTTTTTAATTATGCTATCCCTAGTTACTTTAATAAAGAGTTTTAATCAGTATATACGATTTCGTTTCTGAAGGAGTTTGCATTCTTAGATTTTCATTTGTTTATGTCTCATTGCAAGACTAATACTTGGTTAGGGATGCACCAATTCCTATTTATCCTATTTCTTAAAAGAAGTTGATATGAAATTTTTATAACCGGCCTGTTTACTTCTTCCAAGTTTCCCTGGACATATGCACTGCAAGTTTATTTCAGATGCATGTTTTTACAGAGGTGCCATTTATTACTTTGTCTCATTCTCTATTGTTCTTGGTCTTGAATTTGTTAAAATTATTATTTTCAGAACAAACTCAAAGTATATCTGTCACCTTTTCTATATGGCATGCGCTACACGTCTTTTGGTCGCCATTTTACTAAAGTGGATAAACTTAAAGAGGTAAGTTGCATTTTTTCTCTTATGCTTCAGTTCTAATATCTGCTAATTGAATTTTAGCTATCTGTTATCTTATTATTATAATTTCCTTGATGCTTTTGTTATGTTGATGCATGCAAAATTGTGGTTCAATTGCTTGTTTTATGATACAAGTTTGTCTGATATACTGCCTATGGTAATTTTTAGATAAATGTTTTTTGGGTATCTGTTATGGGTTTACAATGAGTTATTTATGTAGAACCTAAGGAACTTGAAATAGAGGTAAGGAGGGGTTGGATGCCGCTGTTTTTATTTGTGGGACCATGTTTTTGTCCATCTAACACATATTTTAGTTTCATGATGTTACATATGAGGTGGAATAAGGTAGGGAGAGAGGTACACGAGGGGAAAACAGAGAATATAGAGAGAAAATATAGGGAAAGGGGAAGAGACAAGGAGAAATGGGAGAAATTTCAGACAGAACTTGGCTTCAATATTCAAACAGACAAATTCATACTGAAACAAATAACAGCAATTGTTATTAAACAATAGTCACAGTTCTTAGAAACCTTGTCCTAACGAATAGGGAATTCCAAAATGCCTCTACTTACAAATAAAATCTCGTATTCACAAATAAATATCTGTTATTAGTTTGTCAATAATTTCATTTTTGTTCCCTCATGATATGGTTACATTTGGTACTGATTTGAGTCATTTGTAGGTTTTAAATGTTCTATTATGGTCTGTTGTTTTGATAATGCTTGTGAAATGTAAAGCATGGTTTCTAATGTGCAGATTTCCGTACATTCCTTTAGTATTGGTCCAAGTCATTAGTACCTTTTACATTTTCTATTATGGTGTGATGCATCTAGACTTGCTTTGATAATGCTTGTGAAATGCTAAAGCCGGTTTTTAAATGTGCAGATTGTTGATAGACTTCATTGGTATGTGCAAGATGGTGATACAGTAAGGGTTTCTGTGCTTCCTCCACCTTCCCCCTTTTATTCCTCTCTTCTTGACAGCATTTTATTATTTTTCTTTTTACAATTTAGGCACTCAAGTCTATGTGATTATACATGATGTTTGCTTCATAGTGAAATATTTCTTGTGCATTTTTAAGTAAAAAAGATCATGAAAGAAAAAGAAAAGAAAAATTTTGGTTATAAAATTCTCTGTACTTGGATATATACTATAAGAAAAGTCCTAAGGAAACTATGTACTTGGATATATACTATAAGAAAACTCCTAAGGAAACTATGTTCAGTAATTATTCCAAATTCATGATATACCATACATGGCTGGCCATGTTTATATCCTTGTCAGGAGCTGCAAAAAGCTCAAAGATGTTATTTGTTTACAGTTCTTTCCTTCATCTTGTAAGTAGAGCTCTATAACAAAAAAGATGAGAAGGAACTTGATCTGGATGTCTGATTGTTAATTATTTCCATTGACAGATTGTCGACTTTTGTTGTGGTGCTAATGATTTTAGTTTACTAATGAAAAAAAAGCTTGAAGAGACGGGGAAGAAGTGCTCATACAAAAACTATGATATTTTCCAAGCAAAGGTATGTTTTAGTTTCCTGGATTTTAATGGTCTTTTCTAAATCATTTTATGCATTATGAATGTACATTATGGCTGCCCTAGAGGTCAAGATCGATGCCTCGTGCGTCACTGTTTGAAAATGGTATTTACTGTTCTTGCTGCATGGAAGAGGACCTGACTGTTTGAATACATCTGTGATTCTGTAGAGAATCCAGAATTCTTATTTTTAGTTATAAACATTTCCTTATTTTTTGGTGGCTGATATCCGTGTCTTTGGCAGAATGATATGAATTTTGAGAGGAGGGATTGGATGACAGTGCGTCCGAAGGAGTTGCCAACAGGGTCACAATTGGTAAGGAATTTTTTCTCATGTATGAAATAACGCATGTATGCCGGTTGGCATATTTTACATATTTTTTATTAACTTTTTGTTTAGATAATGGGGCTAAATCCTCCTTTTGGAGTTAAAGCTGCTTTGGCAAACAAGTTTATTGATAAGGCCCTTGAGTTCAACCCAAAACTTTTGATCCTTATTGTTCCACCGGAAACAGAAAGGTAGTACTCTCTCTCTCCCTCTCTCTCTCTCTCTCTCTCTCTCTCAAACGTTCACATTTCTTTGCCTTTGACCAGGTTGGATAAAAAGAAGTTTGTGAAATATCCATATGAACTAGTTTGGGAGGATACTCAATTTTTATCTGGAAAGGTAAAAAGATGTTTTGTCCAATTGCTTTGTAGATGAATTACTTTTTATGTTCTTATTACAGTCTTATGGTATTGTGGTTAACTTTGGTTTCTCGTTTTCCAGTCATTTTACCTGCCTGGCTCTATTGATGCAAAAGACAAACAAATGGATCAGTGGAATGTGATGGCTCCACCTCTCTATCTTTGGAGTCGTTCTGATTTTTCAGCTAAGCACAAGAGCATAGCTGAAAACCATGGTCACCTACCTAGGGAACCGGAGAGTTTAAATCAGGAAATTAATATCGATGAAACACACAAATCTGAACTGCCATTGGAGGATGACGGTCATTGTAACGATGCTTCTGAGTTGAAAGATGATATGCAAAACCATAAAGTTGAGGAATGCAAACAAGAGACATCTGTGACAGTGACTCCAAAAGAGTGCTCTCCTCACCAGCAGTGTGAGACAAAAGGCAGAGACAATCATGGCCACGTGAAGAACCAATCGAAGGAAACCTTGAGTAAGAAGAAGAAGAAGCACGGCGAGGAAAATCATGGAAGGCGAGCAGATGGACAGAGTGGAGGGAGGACTCCTATAAATGAGATGTACAGTGGAATTCCTCGCTCTTCTCCTCCCAATGTCATGAGTGGTAGATCCTCGATGGAAGGTGCCTCCTCCAAATCTCCTATGTTGGCAACAGTTACTGGGTTTGGTGAGAATGTTAACCAGCATCCAAATCCTACCAGGCGTGGTTCACGCCATGGAACTTCATATGGTGACACCAGGACCGGCATTGCTGATGATATGGGAAGAAGATACGGTATAAACGACCCTTACCCAGTTGGAGCTCACAACCTTGATTATGGACCTTACACCAATGAAGTAGGGAGAGAATCTAATATACGGTCACAAGTTCGCCGCTATGGGCAAGATCCTGATGCTACTCAAAGAAGTTACCTGGCCGGGTTGAATCCTGCGTACGGTCCAGTAAGATCCCTGTCAAATCCCACTTATAGACAACACCTTGGTGCCACAGTTGATCCATCCTACAGGATGAATACATCTGCAATGCAGCGATACGCACCTCGTCTAGATGAATTGAACTACACAAGGATGGGTACTTCAGGGCCTGAGCCACCCATGATAAATAGAAATGCCTTTTATGATCCCGGACCACCTCCCATTCCCATTCCTGATCCTCGAGCACCCCGACCTCCACCGTACTCAATGGCGTTCGCCCCTGGTCCATACCACCCCTATTCCTATCAGAATTCAGCTGGTTGGCTCAATGAATAGGTAGTTACTCATTATCCATTGACTCTTACCATATCAATTTTCACAAAAACTTGCTTGTTCAAACCCTTATGTAAAGGAAAAGCTTAAAAAAATCAAGTGAAAGCAGTGTCTGTGACAAATGAAATAAGAGTGTTTTGCGTCCACCTCCTAGGAAACCATATCTGTATCGTGTGGGGTTTATTATTTAAAATCTGCATTAATTACCCAAACTTTGGTTATGATGTACGATTGAAAGGGACGTCCATAGCCGTCCTAAATCTGCCCAATTTAAATGAACTAGACATCTTTTTTTACACTACTTTGAAGTTTAAATCTGTGGGAAAAATATTAAAAAAAAAATCTCTTTATTAAACATATTTAAAAGAATCTGTAAACGGGCGCCTATAAGTTACATGTTCAACGATAGTTAGAATATTTTTTTTATTAAATTCGAAAGAAGACAAAAACATTGATTATATCGATTAAAATTATATTTTAAAAAAATTTCATGAAAAATAGTTTTTTGTTAAATTTGATAAAAGCAATGCACTAAATGTGTCTGCCCAAACATTTGTTAATTTTCTAATGTGCCAGCTGTCGTGGTGGCATTTTTATATCACATGGCGTTTGTGTTGCTATTGAGGTGGCGGTGAAGAGGGTAACTGCGATTGGCAGGTGGCGTTTCATTCCGCGATTTCAATGCGATTGACGGAGCGGTTCATGGTGGTAACCGGCTTTTGGCTGTTTTTTTTTCTTTCTTATGATAAGTATCTAAACTAAAAATGATTGATATTAACGGAAGAGATTTAATTTAAATATAAAATTTTAAAAATTAAATAGTTACCAAATGTAAGATAATATCATGTTAACAGAATTTATCATGGTAAAAATTAAAAAAAAATTATTACTAGATAAATTTTTAAAAAAATTGATTATAATATCATATTAAATATTCAACTTAAAATTAATTGATTATAAGTAAAAGGATTTAAGTTAAATATAAGATTATAAAAATAAATATTTATTAAATATAAAATAATACTATTTTAACAGCACAAATTGTGAGATATTATATAGATAAGCAGCTCATCAAAGAATGCTTAATGTCTTTAAATTTTGTGAAGGAAATATTACTATTGCTATTGCATAAATAGCACAAGTCCCACATGCATTGGACGTATAATTAAATTGCAAGTTGTAATTGTATCTTTTGAGACGAACTAAAAACTTTTCTCCCATTTGATTACCTCTAAGCCTAATGCTTTGTTTGGATGTGTGGTCCCGTCATGATTAGACCAGCATTTAAGGGGCTTAAACTAACATGTTCAAATGTACTTTTATTATTGAGAATTGAAAAAAAAATTTAACATTTAAGTTGAAATAAAACAACTTATCTTATTTGAATTGGGTATCTACATTTGCATTATCTTATTGTTATAGTCAATCTCATAATAGTAGTTGCTAATAAACTATTTTTTATTGTTTCAAGATCTGATTTACACTTTGTTTTATGCTCTACATTATTGGCTCTTTGTTTTTTTTTTTGTTTTTTCTGCTATCTTTGTAATGAGAAATAATTTTGAAACCTTTAAGTTTGAAATTCAAACAAACATAGAAGAAATTAAGCAAAGGATTTGCAAGAGAAAGGAGCAAAAAAAATGGGAGTTGAACTTGAAAACTTCATCAAGGTATGGAGCTTGGCTATAATATCATTTTCCTATTGCTTCTATATATCAGCAAAACTCCCAAAGGGCCTCTTTAGGCTTATTTCCTTGCTCCCAATCTTCTTCCTTCTCATCATCCTCCCTTTGAATCTCTCCTCCTTCCATCTTTGTGGCCCAACTGCTTTCTTCCTTGCTTGGCTTGCCAATTTCAAGCTCCTTCTCTTTTGCTTTGACCAAGGCCCCCTCTCACCCCTCCCACCTAATGTTTTCCATTTCATTTCCATGGCTTCTCTCCCTATTAAAACCAAACAAAATCACCAAAACATAAAGAAAAATGAAAACCCATGTCAGAACGAAGCTATACCATCCGAAAAATCACCTGGTTTTGCTAAAACAAGGCAAAGCATGTCACATGTGCCCAAGCCATTTTTGCTAGCTGTGAAAGCTTCACTATTGGCTATTTTTTTTCATTCTTACAACTACAAACAACACTTGAACAAAAATGTAATACTAGCCATGTACTGTCTCCATACCTACCTTGAGCTAGAAATTGTCCTAGCCTTAGCTGCACTTCCTACTCGAGCCATTTTTGGCTTTGAAATAGAGCCACAGTTCAACGACCCCTACCTTGCCACCTCTTTACAGGACTTTTGGGGTCACAGATGGAACCTTATGGTTCCAAGTATTCTACGCCCTACCGTATATCATCCTATACGCCGTATGTCTACTCGTATAGTTGGAGCAAATTGGGTCTCGTTGCCAGCTGTCATTGCTGTATTTGTTGTCTCGGGTTTGATGCATGAGTTGATTTATTATTATTTGACTCGTGCGTATCCTACATGGGAGGTGACATGGTTTTTCATCTTACAAGGAGTTGCTTTGGCCGTGGAGGTGGCGGTGAAGAAGGTGGTGCCGGAGAAATGGAGGTTACATCGAGCAGTTTCCGGGCCGTTGGCTTTGGGATTTGTGGCGGTGACCGGTGTTTGGTTGTTTTTCCCACAACTTTTAAGGAGTAGAGCAGATGAGAAGGTCATAGGGGAATACAATATGTTGGTGGACTTTGTCAAGGATGTGCTTTCATTATAATTGCATCTTATTTATTTTTGCTTATTATTTAAATAATAAATTCCCTTGATTGCACCAATAATCATCGTAAATGGCATAAAGAAAGTTATAAATTCAAATTTTAATTTAATTAATTTATATAATCACTTTTAAAAAATATCATTTAACAAGTTTGATTTCAATATTTGTAATTCTTTTTTACTCTAGATTAGGATTTTTTTATAAAAAAAAAGAATATGATAGATTTAGTTTATTTAATTTAATCTAAGTTAATTAGTTTGGATTAGGAATTTAAAAAAATAATACAAAATAAAAAATAATATAAAAAATGATATAATTTAAAATTTTAATAAAAATCATAAATATATTTAATAAAATAAAAATATATAACATAATTTTTATATATCATATAAAAATTGAATTACGAATATTTTAAACGATAAAATATAAGAATTATTATGTCTAATTAAATCATCCCGAGCTAATGTGAAAAAAAAAAGTGTGTGACAGATTAATAAATATTTTAATTGTTAATTATTATGTCTAATTAAATCATCCTGAGCTAATGTGAAAAAAAAAGTGTGTGACAGATTAATGAATATTTTAATTGTTTTGTTTATTTTTTCTACATTTTTTAGAAATGTAAACAGATAGTTAGCCCAAATTATTTATAAAAAAAAAAAAAAAAACCCTAGTAACAAGAGCAAAAGAATAGGCCCAAAACAAGGAAAATAGAAGAAAAGGCCAGAAGTTTTGAATCAAAGCAAAATAGCTAGAGGTCTAAGAAAGAGAAATAGAAGAATCAGGTTGGGCCAAAAAAAAAAAAGCCTTGCAATATTAACAAAAGGGAGCTTCAAACAGGAAGAATAGTATTATGCCCAAAAGTTCAGAAACAAAGCAAGTTGGGCCTAATTGGCCCAAAACTACAAAATTTCCTAGCTACGAGAGATAAAAAAATTTTTTTTTGAAAAGAGTCCGAAATCTATTTTGATTGGTATTTAATAAATTTGAAATTTAATATTCATAAATTTTTTATTCTTAAATTACGATCTTATTTAAAAAAATTACGGTCTCATTTGTAATTTGCAAATTCAAAGTTAACATAAAGATTGATTCTTTGTTAATATATATTATATATTATATACTATATATAATATATAATACTCTTTCTATCTCATTTTTTTTGTTCATTTTTTTTATATTTAAAGTTCTTTTTTTATATATTTTAAAATTATTTTTATGATATTTTTTTTATTTTTAGACGTTAAAAATCATAAAATTATAATTTTTATAAAAAAATTAATTTTCATATTAAATATATTAAAATCAAACTTTAAAAAAATATATTCTATAAAAATCAATACTATTCAAATGAGGGAGTAGTTGGTAGCTGGACTAACTTGGATGTCCTAAGTCTGATCAAGAAAGGAAATATAAGGTGGACAAATAGCGTTAATTTAATACCGACTGGATATCCAACTCCCAACCGTCCATTTCAATTGCCTGAAACCTTGGTGCTAAGCAACGTCAACCCAGCATTCATGTCCTGCCTCGAGAAATGGAACCACCGGCACGTCAATGCCGTAGAATAAACGGGGACCAAACAGTTACGTCCTGGTGGTCCTGGTACGTTCTTGCCGTAAGTGGCAGTAAAGGTATGATGAGGGATTTTCAATTAGGGTTTTAGGGTTCAATAGAAAAGACTTGGAGGTCTGCTAGTTTGATTTTGAGAATTTTAGGTAAGGTTTGGTTTTAAAAAATAGAGATATTTTTTTAAAAAATAAAAGTGAAAATCTGTTAGGTAATTTAAAATAAAAATAAATTTTAAAAAAATAAAAATAATAATGGACTTAAATATGAAAAAGATATTTTTAATTATGAAAATAAAGAATACACTTTTTTTTTTGGTATTTTGTAAGTTAAGAAATTGATCTATATTTAAATATTTTTGAAAGCTATTAATTAATAAATATAAATTATCTTTATAATTAGATGCTATTAATAATTATTATTTATTTTATATTTTTATATAATAAATTTTATTTATTTATCAAATACATTTTTAAAAAAATAAAAAAAAAACTTTTTTCAGAAAAAAAATAAAAAATAAAAACAACAAATATTTTTTTAACCAAACAGAACTTTTTTTTTTTTCAGATTTGTATTTTTAAGTTTTCAGATTAATTTTTATAAACTAAATTTAAATAAATAATAATAAAGTAACTAAATTTCTGACATTTGACCCTTTATGTTCCAATCATAAATTTTTGACCCTTTATGCTCCAATCACTTTTCTCTTTCCCTTTCCCCATTTAATTTCTCATCTGTCATCTCATCCACCTCCCACCCATTTTTTCTTGTTAAATGTCACCAATAACCTGTAAAACAAAATACCTCTCATGTACTAAAGGAACATAGCTGGCAGAGAAACAAAATTTGTGAATAGTAAATTTTGTACTTCATTTTCTATTTATAACGTCATATTGTGAATTTTGGATAAGGATTGATAAAGATTTAATTAATTATGTTTGAATCGATATAGTATTAAGTTTAAGTTCGATTCAAAATTTAAAATTTAAAATTTGACTTGAATTCGATCAAATTTTATTTTTTTAATTTAATTTGATTCAAAATAAAAATTGAATTACTCGAACTCATTCGATTGAACTCGATTAACATGTAAAAATAAATTTGTATTTTATTTAGTTTTTTTTTAATAAAATGTTTTAATAGAACACCAAACTTCAATTCTCAAATTTTCATTTTCATTCTTTTAAAAGTATATTTAGTTTTTTTGTTTTAATAAAATGTTTAATGATTGATTTATTCATATTTTTTATTTCATTTTTAAATTGTAAAAAAAATTAAAAAATTATGTGTAATTATTAATTTAACAATTAATTATAAATCATGTTATTATTAAAAGTATAATATTATCATAGTAATATAATTTTATACTCTTATTATGTTTTTATTAATATATTGTTTGTCTATATATATTAATAAATATAATAAAATACACCTTAAAAAAAATAAAATATACTATATATTATTAATTGGCCCCTCTATATTATATATTAAGATCTGCAACTTGACAGTTGCCCCACTGAGTTTATAAATTTCTTTTGGATTTATTATAAAAACTTTTCAAAAGTTTTGACAATTCAAAATTTTAACCCTATTGAAAATCTTTGTGATTATATTTGTCCCTACTAAATTAAGGCTCATACAAGAAAATTTTTATTTTTTATCTAGTAATTGAGTATTAACACTTTAAATGCTAAGCAATTTCATTATAATAAATATACTCATATATTTTTTTCAAATTTGTAAAAAAATGAAGTAAATTACTTTTAGAGAGTTTTAAATTTTTAAATTTTTAATTTTTCCTAATAATTTGTTTAGATTTATGGAAGATGATCTTATAGGGATAATGAGAAATAAAGCTTGCACTAATTAAATGGTTTAACTACTTTTTAACACAAAAAATAAAATATAAAATATGAAGTAATAAAAATAAACAATCTTCTTTAACTAAGAAAAATTTATGCCTTTATTCTTCTTTTCATTATATGCAAGAAAAAATCATTTTTTAATTTTCGAATTATAATGAATAAAAAATCAAATATATTTATTTATTAAAAATAAATGATAAAACTAGACATATTAAAAGTAAGTAATAAAATTAGACATGTTAATTTTTATTTCATTCTTTCACCTATTATATCTATCTCTAAGAATTTTGTAAGTAAAATTTTATTAAATTAATATATTTATATATATATATATGTGTTGTCTATTATGAAAGATGATTTATCTAAACAGTGTTTAGACTATATTCATCAAAACTATATAATTAATTATATAAATATTATTTATTTTGCCAAAAAGGTTTTTTTTTTCATATACAAAACTATTATACATGCTAATGTTATTTATAATACTTAAAATTAATTTGTATTTCAATAAAAAATTTTAAATTAACTTAAAAGATTATTTATGCTATGGAATCAAGAAAAAGTCTTAATATGCATTAATAATTTGTCATTAATAACAAGCAACTAGAATTAGGGATAACAATTGTTTAGGTCGGGGTGAGTTTTCACTCTACTCAACACCTTAATACTTATAAGTGAATTGATTCGTTATTAAAATATTATTTTTCATATTTGACTCAATTTGTATATTTTAAATTTGCAATGAACCTAAAATTAATTTAATAAATTTAATTTAATATAATATTTATAAAATATTATTTTTTAATATAAATTATATTTTCATTATACATAAATATAATATTTTTATTAAGTTTATATCTTAAATTAAAATATTAATTAATAATTTTATTAATATAATACATATATATAAATATAATATTAAATAAAATTTGATTTAGACCCAATCCCAATCTAAAATAAAAAAAAAAACTTGACCCAATCTTCAATTTAAAAAAAAATTTTGATTCTATAAAATCAGAGTAGATCGAAACTCGTAAGATACAAGTTATTTTCTCATCCCTAACCTAAACTAACTATACATGCTTATTAAGATTTTTTGTTTGGTTCTCGCCTAGTCACATTTATTATATGTTTTTCTTTCTCTCTTTTTTTTTTTTTTGTTTTTCTTTTCATTTTTTTTACCATGCAACATTATAAATAAATTTATAAGCAAAACACAATAAAGAATATTGGGTTTAATTAATATTATAAAAAATATAATTTAATGTTAAAAATTAAATTGGAAACCATTTTCTAAAAACTTTATTTCATCACCATGTGAATTAATTTACAAATAAAAATATATTATTTATTTGATCGAAGTTTAGTTTAATTAATTTATAACTTAAAAAGTAACATTCAATAAATATGAAATTCAAATTTTAGTAACTACCTTTTCTTCTATCCCCAATTTACGGCGGTTACCAAAAAAACATACAATGTCACTTGTTATAAATACGAATATTTTCATCGTAGAATGGCAAATCAAACAGGAGTGTATCTTGGGTGGGTTAAAAGACTAAAGAAGAGCGAAGAAAACAAGCTTTAGAAATGGAGGATGAACTGAAGAACTTCATCAGGCTATGGCTTTTGACAATACCATCCATATCCTATTCTTACTACATTGCAGCAAAGATCCCAAAAGGCTTGCCAAGGTTGCTCTCCCTCTTCCCTATCGTCACTCTCTTATCTGTTCTACCCTTTAACAATTACAGCTTCCATCTAGGTGCCCCCCTTGTATTTTGCCTTTCTTGGCTAACCAATTTCAAGCTTCTCTCATTTGCCTTTGATCAAGGCCCCTTATCACCACCACCTCAGAAGCTTCATCTTTTCATCCTCACAGCTTGTTCTCCATTCAAAGTCAAACAAACCTCAGCTAAGATAAAAAATGGTGAAAACCCAAGTCAGGAAAATGACCTCAAAGTTCCTAGTATGATCCTAGAGGCTGCAGCTAAAGCTACATTGCTAGTTTTGCTGTTTCATTCTTATAACTATAAAAAATATTTTCACAAACATGTTTTGTTAACCCTTTACTTCTTCCATACTTATCTTACGATTCAGTTTTTATTAGCTGTGGCTGCAATTCCAGCTCAATTGATCCTTCTCGGGGTTGAACTCGAGCCACAGTTCAATGCACCCTTGCTTGCCACTTCGTTGCAAGACTTCTGGGGCCATAGGTGGAACCTTAGGGTCTCAGATGCGTTGCGTCCGACCATATACAACCCTCTACGAAGTGTTTCTGCACGTATAATTGGATCTAGATGGGCTTCATTACCGGCTGTGTTTGCTACATTTGTCATTTCGGGTTTAATGCATGAGTTGATTTATTATCATATAACTCGTGAAAATCCTACGTGGGAAGTGACTTGGTTTTTTGTTTTACAAGGAATTTTTGTAGATATGGAGATTGTATTGAAGAAAAAATTGGTGGCGACGGAGACATTTCGGCTTCACAGGACGATTTCGGGACCATTGGCGTTGGCAAATCTAGCAGTGACTGCTGGTTGGTTGTCTTATACACAACTCTTGAGAAACGGTATAGATGAAAAGCTAATCAAAGAATTCAATGTGTTTCTGGAGTTCTTGAAGGGATCAGCATAATTTTTTTTATATATATTCGAGCTTGTCGAGGTTGAAATTTGATCGCTAGAACTAAAAATTCTATATTCTATCTACCTATCCTATGACTAATTGTATGAATCCAGTGAAAATGCTTGTCCAGGAAAAAAAAAATTGTTTTAACTTTGTTTGAACATCGGTGGATGAGCCTCCAAAATGCAAATTGATTTTCCTCTTTTCTTACAGTTTCAATATATGAACAGTTTGACCAGAGGCGAAGGTAAAAAATTGATAAAGAAGGGACAAACAATAATTTTAAAAGGAAAGACGGCATTACAGTGGTAATTAGATGGGATTTATTATTATATAACAAAGGAGGTAAAATAATTTTGGGGGGACCGTGGTCTCTGCCTGTCCGCCTTTAGCGCCGCCTCTGAGTTTGGGCTAACTTAACAGCTGAGAAATAAAAAAAAATGCTGTATTTTTTTTTATTTCTCAGCTGTTAATTATAACTGACATTAGTGCTTTTGCCATGATCAGATTATATATATCCATTGACACCTTGTTGTGAGCTGTGACTCCAATCTATGTCACTCCCAATTGGCCATTTAATTTCTTCATATTTATCAGAATGTTCCTTCGTATCTTTGTCAATTGATTAAGACACCTGCTTGATTAAGCAATTGAAGCATGATTAATGAAGAAACCCGAACAATTTAATATCAAGTATTAAAGTTACTTAAACTGTTAAAATACTACAATAACAATAAATTTATATTTTTACCTAAATAAACATAAACAATAACTTTTTCATATATATCATCTGTGTCAATTAAGTTCAAAAGTTTCGATAAGTTTAATATCATGTATTGAAACTATCAAAACTATTAAAACAGAACAATAACTATTAATTTGTATATTAAACTTTTAATAACATAAAAAGTTCATTCATTGGAATAAGTTTAAAATCATAAACTTACTATTTCTTTTTGTTGCTTTCCACTACTAATCCCAATCTATTCTCTTTTCTGTCATAAAAAATAATTGCATATATGATAGAAATACAAATATTACTAACTTAAAGCATAAAATACTTTCATTATTTCATTCTACTATACAAAGTTATAAATTAGTACCTCTTCTTTTATTGAGAATCAAAATCTAACTAATTATTCATATTGTCATCTAATCACATTACGTGATAGATTTTTCATCGTCGCCTCTACAGTAGTATTTTGATCAAAATACTTATTTTTCAAATTATGTTTATAATCTTTTCATTTTTTTCAAGGACTTAAGCATAAATGAAGTTAGTATTTCAAGTACAAATTTTGACTGTAATAATACAACAAGAAAAGTTTGAATAAGTAAACAAAATGTAAAATAATTATATTTTTATATGTAATTAATTATACTAATACCTCAATAAAGTTTAAAGCATCGGTCTTAACTTCTACTGGAACTTTATGCCATGTTTCATAATGAATAGGCAATTTCATTCCATTATAAGCAAGCATGCCTAAAAATCCAGTCAACAATTGAGCATCTTCACTAATTGGTTGCCTATCAGAGTTTACAAACACTACAATACGATCGTTTGGAGGTAGTGCAACCAATTCCTTCAAAATTGTTTGGCTTCTGATCCTCCGTTAACCATTGTTATCAACTATAAAAAATAAAAAATAAATTTGTAAAATGGCAATACTTTTATCATTATAATCGAATTCTAAATATAGGGTATATGATACCTGCATTCAAATTTAAAGCATAATCAATTGACAGGATACTATTTAAACCTAGACCTCCTGTATTATCAGATCCAATATCAATTAAAGGGTTAGAAGTGATTGAGTTAGATCCGACAGTATGTCCATTCCCCTCCAAAGGATTCAGTCTATAGCCAATATCAATAGGTGCCGCAAACGGTTCTAAATTAATTTCTTTGATATGTATTCCTTTCAATCTACTCTTTCGTATTATAGCTTACCTGTATCATAAAAGCAAATATATAAAAGATATTAGTTTAGAACATATATAAAGACATTAAGAAGTTAAGAAATCATAATCTATGATCCATCATAGTTCATAAATGTCTTCAATAATATATTTACGGACCCACTGAGCATAGGTATTGGAGATATTTTCATTCAAGTTTTATTCAGCAAAAGGATAACATTCAGTTCATGTTCAACATCATCTCTGGTATCTAACGCCATATCAAATAAGTCTCTATGTATGTTTCGAAGAATAACAAATTAACCCAATTTTTTGGGTCTTCAAAATAAAAAACTTATTTGACTTGAGATGAAAAAATATAAGGTTCATCGATAAGTTGTTGTCCAGTGTGAATTAATCGAGAAAAATTCACAAGTGTAAATCCATATTGATCTTTCTTAATACCCTTCGCATTATTCACATCAACCAATCACACCGAAATAAGATAACTTTCCACTTGCCATAATAATCCAACTCAATGATGTCATTAATCATACCATAATAATCAGTATTTTCTTCTAAAGCGTTTGTGTCCCTAGCATTAGCATAGCTAGTGGTTGATGAAATAATAATATCTCTTGAATTTTGTGTACTTTTAAATCTTTTATGGGATTTAATGTGAAATCTAAATCCATTGATGATGAAACCTTTGTATCGTTTCACAATCCTGTTCGAACTTTGTGAAAGACACTTCACCTCTTCACTAACAAGCCTTCCACTCCAAACCTATAAAAGTGGAATAAATATATATATGTTATTAATGTTAGTTATACCGTAAATATTCTATGTAGATTTCTCATAATAAAAAGTATGGCATTACTTACAATTGCTTCTAACTATTCATGAAAGTTTTCGACGAATAAATTATCAAGCTCTTGAGGGTTTGATCGTCAATAATGTGCAGGAGCTCTCAAATTATTTTTATACTCACTACAAAGCATCATGATAAAGTATTAACAATAAAAAAGACAATAAATTATGCTTAATATAATGAATAATTTCCTTGCTAAAAAACTTACTTGCAAAATTATTCAATTGAGTCATGGTGAAAAAGAACATATCGATGTGCTTGTGCCCAAGATTTATCATCTAACTCTATCATTTCAAATTTGCCTATTGGTTATCCAAAATTTTGAAAAAGATAACTATAGGCAGAGTTAGTATGCTGCATGTCAACATTTCTCGATGGTCTATTAAATCTCATTTCAACATCTTCCAAATAATGAGAACAAAATGTCATACACTCTTCTGCTAAATATCCTTTAGCAATAAAACCTTTCGGATAGTGTTGTTGTGACAATAAGACTTTAACCTTCCCAAAAACCTATCGCATAAAACATTAGTCATATATCTTTTTAACTAGAGTGGCATGATCATCAATAAAAATCTAATCAATCTGTTAACAAATAATACCTTTTGATAGGATACATTCATTGATAATAAATCAACCCACCGATTTTTGCTTTATATGAAAGGTGGATAATCAAATGCATCATAATGTGAAGAAGTTAGAAGGAAAAATTTTCTCTAAATAGTATAAAGTAATCACTGCTCGATCTTGAAGTTTGTCAATCTCTTCCACATTTATACATTTCCCACATAAAGATTTAAATATGTTACTCAATTCAATTACCACAGAAGTGACTTACTTTGACATTGATGAACGTAAAATAATTGAAAGTAAGTTTTACATCAAAATGTGATAATCATGTGACTTCAATGAAAAAAAATTTTGCTCATTAAGATTTACACATCTCGATATATTTGATGCATAGCCATCCAAAACTTTGATATTTTTCAAAACTTTGCAAAACACATCTTTTTCAGCTTTAAAAATCCTAAAACAAGCAGCAAGCAATCGATATTTACCATTAAAAAGTAACTTCAGATGAAGGTTAAGGCGAATCCCTATATCAACTAGGTCAAACCAACTCTTGAAGTCATCCTTTGATCTTCTATTCACATTGAGAATTGTCTCGATAAAATTGTTGTAAACATTCTTCTTTATGCGCATCAAATCAAGGTTATGAGTAATAAATTATATTTTTAATAAGGTAACTCAAAAAATATACTTCTTTTTTTTCATAACTCAGACTCATTGGGGTCATTTTTTTCATTGTTATCTTCATCATTTTGAACATCAAGATCACCAACTTGAGTATTAGTATCACTAACGTGCATAATATAAGGCCAGACACATTCAAAGATATCCTTTATTTTTTTCCTTGATGGACATATTTTTCCATAAGTGAATTTGATATCTTTTAACTTTGATATGATATTAGACCCACTAATTGGTAAAGGCAATCTTCTTAACTCTTCAGTTTCATCATAAAGATGTTTTTGGAATTTAAATCGATGATTATCATCTAACCATCGATGATATTCCATATAATAGAACTTTTTACCATTAGGTAACCACTTCGAACATGTCTGTGCAGCACAACATGGACAAGCATAATGACTTTTTGTACTTCAACCAAATAAATTCGCATAAACAAATAAATAATTGATAATCCATGATAAAGCAGCACGTATATTAAAGTTTTTTTTTTATGCATCATAGGTCTCAACTCCTTCTCATAATTAGTTTAACTTTTTAATAAGAATTGTAAGTAGATGTCTATATCATTATCCAAATTTTTTTTTTGAGAATTATCATAGACAATATAAATGGTCGTTGCTTCATAGCAATCCATGGTGGTAAATTGTAAGGAATTAATACAACTGGCTAAGTACTATAAAAAATAGTCATCATTTTGAATGGGTTAAATCCATCAGATATTAGTCTAAGTATAACATTTTGAGGATCGGATGCAAAGTTAAAAAACCTAAAACAAAATGATTTTCATGCCAAAGAATCTTAGGATGCTTCAATGATCTATCATCCGTTCATTTCTTATGATGCCACCTCATTGAATTTACAGTTTTAAAAGACATGAAGAGTCATTAAAGTCTTGGTATTAATGAAAAATAGCGTAAAACCTTAATAGGCTTCTTTTTGACACAAACCTCATCACCATTCTCATTCAACCTTTCATGGGAGTTTTTGTCCACCCAACGAGAAATACCACACAAATGATAAGATTCTTGATTTTTTCTATCACCCCAATACAACATGCAATCATTGGGATAACTATAAATTTTTTCATATCCGATATCTAAATCTTTGATCATCTTCTTTAATTTCTTACAAGATTA